GCAACAAAACAAAAACAAACACAGCGTTCATCGATGTGTATCCATTCTGCATGCTTCTACCTGACTGGCGTCTTTACCTTAGAGACAATATAAAGCGTCTTCCTGTCATCCCGCCTACAAAACAGTAGCATCTCCTAAAAACATTTGGAAAACAAAAAGTGTTTTTTTGTTTCCTCCCATTGCCTACAGACTGCTTGTCTCCAGTTGAGTTTGACTTTTTGAAAAGAAAGCCATACAGAAAGAAAAACATTCTCTGATAATCCCATTTTAGCTTTTCTTCATTTAATATCTCTGGTGGTGGTCATTTGAAAACCAGCAATTAGTCACCTATGGATCAACGCAAAGCTTCCCAAAGTACAACGTCATTCAAATCTTTCTCTAACTTATATAACTACAAGTCAACAATGTGTAAGCACAAATACATCTTGTGTTTTAAATGACATATCATTCATAAAAAAATGATGAAAAATACATACAACAATTTCTCTTGTAGGAAATCTATTTAACAGATGTATCAACAAATATAATCAAAATTTATTAAAAAATAAAACAAAACGAACCAAAACTAAGCGTTTGGCAATAAACACTATCACTTGAATTTCTGATCTACATATATAATGCCTATCACGAATGATCAGTTTTGTAAGATGCATATTTATTGGTAACATTTATTACCCTTGACTTTCATATGAAAGGTGACATACATGTATGTCTGTGAAAGCACAATGTACCCTCATATTTGTATTTGATTCTTTAAAAAAATAAGGATATGTCAAACCGAAAAACAAATCATCACAAATCATTGCTTTGATTGCTCCAGATGGAATAATGATGAATACCTTGGTAAAAGTACATTCACTGTGCACATTTTTTTTAAAGAAACTGTATACAAATGTTAAATTTTGACAGATAATGTAGAATTCTGGAAAGTGTCAAAGAAATGACTGAAATTCAATATATACTAAAAGAAACCTGCATGATACCTGATAACAATGGCTTGAGGCAGGGACACACCAAAATGACATCGTGAGAAGTATCATATACATGTATAACATGCACAGAGTATTGTACAGGTAAGTTATTCTCAAGTCACTAAAAGTTGAAAATTACTGGGTTCTTATCATTTTGAACTTAAGTAACATCCTCACTGAATGTCATATACATGTACATGTATATTATAGAGCTTTCATTTTTTTAAACATCTTGCATTCGCTGTAATGATTTTGTTTTTAAAACACTTTTTAAGACTGCCACTATGGCTATTTCAGAATACTAATCATACTTTGCACTTGTTTTTACAAGGTTTCTAATAATGGCTAGAGAATGAAATCCCAAAGACATTTTTCCCCTTCAAAATTCACATTGTATTCTTTTTGTGGTTAATTAAACTTGAGAATTAAATATTTCCCTTTACACTATGTACAGATAATACCATCAAGGTTTTTTTCTTCCCCCTTTCTTTTTAAACTGAGACAAGTGTGCAAAACACAACTAAGAACCAATCATACAAAAGTCATCACTCATTGGTATCTAAATAATGAAATGTAATCACTTCATTAATAATCATATATAGCACTTCATATGTTTGTACCTCCACTTGAGGTTAGGCCATCTCTTTCTCCTCATAATCTTCCTAGATTTATCAATCGGTAAATGCAATTGAATGTAACACATGGGTTGTACGACACATGCTCTTGATACAGTAATTTTGCAGGAATTTCCTTCACTCACTAAATTCCTAATGTAGACCCTAGACCCACCACTACACCTAATTTCAAACATAAACCTAACCCTAACCGAAAACAGAATCGCACCCCTAACCCTACATATAAAGCTTGGAGCAATTATCACCAGAGTAAATATCAGAACTTTAACTTTGATGTGCGTAATCATAAGTAGGGTGGCATTATCATCAATTGAGAACATAATCAGAAATGAGGTTAGAAATATATTGCACTGCATATGGAAGCATGGTGAGGAAGATTTTCTACAATCATGCCTCACAACATTTACCACAAGGGGCTGGTTATTTTTTTAATTTGTATCAAATAAGCTTTTAAATTGCATTCAATGGTTTTAACCACCTAAGTTTTTGAAAATTGCTTATTGCATTTTTGGACAAGGAAAAGCTTATTTGCCTTTTTGTAATTAACATTGATCAATGATTTGCATAGTAAGATATGGAACAATGTTCACATTATAATGGACAATTAGACAAAAAACCTGTCTTCCAATATTTGTTTACTTGTAATATATTTTGTAAAGTTGGTGGTTCTAGCAAGTTAAAAAGCAAATAAACACATATTAATAATTGTGTAATTTGTAATTCAAATGGAAATAAACTTGGATTATTTTGTTTATCTTATATGAAATCTTTAATACAGTCCATATGAGCTACATCGTATTTTTGTATAAAGTTTTAGATATTATAACTGTGTTCTTGCACTTCAAAAAACTCTTCAAAAAAAAAGGAACTACGTAACTTTTGATAATTCATGATGGATTTATGGGAAGCAAGGTGATAGGGTGGTGAAAAGGGCTTAAAACTCCATTAAAATTTACTTCAGTTATAAGGATATAGTTATTATTCTTCAACAAAAGTATTAACAAATTATTTAGAAAATCACCATAAATTTCCCTTTTTAATACTAAACATGAGTCGTTCCTCTGTTTCAGGAATGTCTTTTCTTATATTTGAGGGCAAACTAATAAAATAAATTGACTTCTTTCATGTCAAAAGGCGTCTAAAGGTAAAAGATTACCTTTTAATACATATAAATCATCATTTGCCTACAGTATATACCTACCAACAATCAAATAAGTGTTGATAGTTTTATTTTCTCTTTGTACATTATCATTGGCCTCCACTCAGTATCATTTTGACTTCTAATACTTCACGGTTTGAGAGACATTCAAATATGAGTCAAGACTAAGAAAGGGAAACTTGTAAAGAATTGAAAGTGAAGACAAAATATCCAAGTACATATGTACTTTTTACAAGGGGCCTAAGGATTCAATACATCATCAATGATTGATCATTTATGCAAGTACACATCATCGATCGAAAGAGAGCAAACAATCCATTGAAAAGTAGAAGAAAATGAAGCGGAAATAGAGGGAAGTCTGCACAGCAATAAGAGATATACATGTACAGTAAATAAAAATCTGTAAGTGAATGAAAGGCTACAGGTATATATAGACGTGTATCAATCATATCAGATTAAAACATGTCTGTTAAAACCCAATTCACTCACACATGTATTTTTTTCTCCCTTCTTGGTACAACTGCACACGATTGGTGCATGCAGAATCGAAATACTTTTGAATGATGCAAACGTCTCCTGAAAATTCATTTTGATACTGATTGACTTCTACTTTACATTCTTTTTGTAAACTCTCTTGTTGGGTTACACAGAACTTTGAATTCTGCTTCTGTGTACAACTGTCAGTTTAATTGTTGGTGTACCACACATACTGAATGATTACAAATGTACTTGTGTACTACTTGTTACCAGCCTACTACGGACCATATGGTAGATTTTTGTCTGTTTTTATACTTGCTTAAATATAACGAATTAAACTATATTAGGAAGCTTTGTTCATTACAGGTTGGATAGTACATGTATATATATGGTACAACCAGAACCCACATACATACATACATATACGAACATCCAAATGCATAAAGATGATTTAAATTTTTTTTTATTGCTTTAACAAACTTGTCAAAGTTTAGTTTTATCTGTTTATCACATTTCTGTCATAACCACAACATACACTGAACACAAACTTTCAGCACACAACAGAAAGATGAAAGGGTCATCTCAAATATATATATCTTTACATGTATATTCAGAGTATTATGAGGGCAAAGCATCTCTCTAAAGACCAGGGGGGGGGGGGGGGCATTTCACAAAACTTGTCATCAGTGACAAATGACATGAAATCCTTGCTTCTGATTGGTTATCGGCAGATTTGTCACTGAGTTTTGTCATTTGTCATTGAAAAAAGGCTTTGAGAAACGCCCCGTTTACTTCCGTCTTCAATTGAAGGGCATTTCTCTACAGAGCCCCCCGGTATCAGATTTTTCAATTCTATTTGATTCTAGGGGAAATAGACCTGGGGGGTGTTTCACAAAGATTCTAAGTAGAACTTAACTCTAAGTTGGACTTAAAAATTATGGACAGCCATTAGCATCTTTGAAAATATTTGGTAAAAATAATTTTGAAAGGCATAAAATGTTTATTCAAATCATTCATATTTTCTATCATCAAGGAGATTTCATATTCTTGTTGTGGAATTTATAAAATGTCTAAAATACTTGAATTTCTGCTTTTGAGTATATTTCATTTTAAGGCTCCAATGGCTGTCCATAATTTTTAAGTCAAACTTAGTGTTAAGTTCTACTTAGGATCTTTGTGAAACACCCCCCTGGATCACAATATCCTGGGCAAGTACCCCCAAGGAAAATTACTCTCCCCTGGAAAACTATCTCCTCATAAATTACTTTCTACTAGACCTAGATAACTAGAATCATTAAATGCCTTGGGGTTGTTTTCTTGCGAGGTTATAGTGAGGGGGGGGGGGGGGTTGCATATGCCTCAGTGGGATGTTATCAGGGAGGTGGTAGTTTGGGGTATTTGTCCACACAAGATTTAATTCACCTGTTAGCATAGTGTTTCAGATGAAAGAATTCACCTTGCATATAAACTACTTGTTGCTTTGTCAGACAAGCCTCTATAAAAGCTTTGGATCATTTCAAGTCGCTTTGATTCAAGAAGTTTGCATTAAAAATCTGTATGCATCACTAAACTGGGGGCGTTTCACAAAACTTGTCATCAGTGACAAATGACAGTTTTTGTTATAAGCTACTGAAATCCTTGCTTCTGATTGGTTATCAGCAGATTTGTCACTGGTTTTTGTCATTTGTCATTGAAAAAAGGCTTTGTGAAACGGGTCCCTGGTCTATCAAATCCAAAGTTCTGATGATTGATTCCTACCTTGTCCATATCCTCCTTGCCTCTGGTTGTACCCTCCTCCATATCCTCCTCCTCCTCCTCCTCCGTGGTGTGCTGGGGGAGCAGGGCCCAAGATAGACTGATCATTCCTTCCCTGATTTGCACCATGTCTGTCAATCAACGAATGAAAATGAAACTTTAGAAATGATTTTACATAATAATGATGAAAGGACTAGGAACTACTGTATATTGTACTTGTTAAAAGAAAAAAGGGGACGCACTATTTGTTATATCAATATACCGCAGTTACCAACTGATAATCTATCCAAACACTTCACAGTAATGGATCACTGATCCAGACACTGGATTCATATCAAGCAATTACACATTTTGTGGATCTTACAAAGGAGGTATTCCTTGTCTGTGCAACATGCACACATGCTTGCATTCAGGATAATGACAGACTCATTCAACAGGCTTTCACACATCTTCAAGCAAGGCATCTTTCCCTCTCGGGTATGGAAAAACAATGTACAAGTATGCTACAGTGTCATGAGAGAAAGGAGAACCTGAAAAAGTTGATACATTTTCAAAGATACAACATCTCAACATCTCAATGTCACAGCACCACCTCTAGTCCAGACTCCACTATGCTGTAAAATGGACTTCATTAGGAAATGAAGGTTACACAAAGGATTAGAGGTTAGTCTGATAAGTTTTGTCTATTCTCAACCATGTTGTTCAAAAGAGTAAACTAGGTGTTCACTTTTCTGCCCTATGATCACAAAAAAAAGATATATATATATATATATATATATATTAACCAGAAGTAGGCTCAGAGTCATACATAAAGCAAAGAAAAGATTCTGGTATTTCTCAGCCAAAATACAAGAGAATGTAGAAATATGAAAATAATACATGTAGAACTGGAAAACTGTGATATTATTGATGCCATTGATGAATATTTGGATGGTAACTAAGTGAAGTGCTTATATCCATCATGAAGTAATGATCGGCTCCTCCCTTATTGCTGCAGCAACAGCACAGCTGATAATGCAGAGCCCTGAAATTCAATAAGTTCATCCTATAGATCAGGAGCCAAATACTCCCATGCTCTGGCGCAGCTCTTCTTATATTGGTAATTTAAAAAATGTTTCATAATCCTTAACGGGATTGGGTAACTTTTTCTCAGATTCTGAAACAAAATCCTGGATTTAGCTCATGCTGCAATGATAATTATAGAACTTTAGATCAGTCAGGAACCCCATAACTTTTACAAGCCGATCGATCGCCTGTTTAATTATCAAGATGTATATATATATATATGATTGGAAATCAAAATTTAAAAATTTGTTTTCCTAACACTACAGCCTATTGGGGAAAATGTGTATGGTAACCCGGTTACCCAAAGATTTTCACTTTTTTGAGGCACTTCATGATCATTTTAAAGCGCGATTTTTTAATTTTTAGAGCTTCAATATTACACCATATCACAGATACTAATAGCACGTAGAGCCATGTATCTCAGATTGAACATTGTTAAACGATGCTTTTAACTCCATTCAATGTCCTTCCCCTTCTATTCTATACTCCCTCAGACCTTGCCATACTTTCCCCAAGTACTTTGTAAAAATAGCATGCATCATTCTGCCAACCTTGATTTCATCTGTTAAGTGTCAGAAGGGCACTAAGAATTCTTTGTTAAATTATATGAGATAAAGCCCAATCTAGCTTCAAACAGACGATTCAACTACGATTCAACTCTGGAACATCTCACCCAAACTTCTTGATTGACTGCAATGTAACAGGATAAAGTAACCCTCAACATTCCAATTCCTACTATCTTCTCTTTACCTCTTTCTCCCCCTCCCCCACTACCCCCTTACCATACTACCAGACTACCTTGACAAACTTGCTTGGGGTTGGCTTAGGCACGCTGGCATGGCATAAGCGCTAGGGAGGAAGTGGGACTGGCTGGAACAAGGCACAGCACCTTGCAGGAGCTGGGGGAGGGGCTTGGATGCACTGTACGGGTTCACAGGTGCACCTTGGGGTGCTAAGGAGGGGTACAGGACTGCACCCCCTTGTACATGCTGGTTTTTCCATTGGTTGAAGAGCTGGATAGCACCATAGTACTCTTGGACATCCTGGTCCCTGGGAAGAAGGAGCAGGGTTAAGGAAAGGAGCAGGGGAAAAATACATGCAGACAGAGGATTACAAACTAAGGATTTTAGTCAATTATTGTTATGCATTAACAAATCAATTTGTGCATTGTTGAAATAATTCTGCAAGGAATTTTGCAACCCGTAAAGACTATAAGTGCTACATTACACACATTATATCAGTTTTTAATGATTGAATAGCATAAAGGAATAATTGCTACAGCATAATTCATGTATGTATATATAATTGTTTTATCCCATTGCATACAGTAATTTGTCTTCAAAGACAACAAGCTCCTTCATGCCTACATCAAATAACTTTTGTTGTTGTTGTTGATCTATTCTCAGTCATTTTTCTTCTTTCCATTTGCTGCTTTTTGCCATTAAAAAACTCTTTTCCCACAATCAATGTAAAAAATCATATCCCTTTCTAAAAATGTTTATAGCATACATTATACTACTTAATGTAGATGCTGCACTACAATATTGCATTATGCATGAATATGGTCAGGTTTATCTAATCCAATACATTCTGAGAGAGGTGCAACAAGTTATTTGTGAAATGAAATGTTTAAAAAAAGAAAAACAAAGAATATTGCTTGGAGATATTACACAAAATACCACATATACAGGCTGTGCACAAAGACCTACATTTATGAAAAAAAAGAAGAAGAAAAAACGTGCATGATTTTTTTTTTAAATGAAGGTGTGATAATGACTACTGTAAGAGAACTACTAAATGTGAGCTATTAGATGTATGTTATTGAAACAAAACAAGAGCTTAAAGGAGTTAGAAGAAAACTGGGAAAAATAAAATGAAAAATCGTCTAACATGGCAGGAAAAATATAGAATTCAATATGAATTCAATACTTATGACTGTATATTTAGAGAAACAGTTGAGAAGATAGTTTACAAAACATGTGACTTTCGATTCTGTACAATCTTTGAAATTCTTGAACCAAAAAGTGTAACATATGACAAGACGGACAAAATCAAGGAGAAAAAACAACAATATCTTTAGTCTGATGCAGCAAGGTGATCTTTCTGGAAACCTGATCAAATAAATAACAAATCACTTGCAACAATAACAAGAATAATATGTAATAAAACATGCATACATTAGTATATATCTGGAGCTGTATCATAAAAGACATGCACTGTAATGCAAACAAAAGTGAAAATAATAATAAACAAAAATTAAAAAATAGGTGAAAATATCAAATGCATGAAAAACACTTAAAACGTTTATAAATATGAAGTATCTAGGAGCTGAAAAGGTAATCAAAAGATTTAGAATTGTTAGCAATGTTTTCATTGACAAAATACCAATCTTGATTGCAACTTGCAAACATTGTTCAATTTGCAAATCAACAGTATCAACATTCACATGTAACAAGGCATGCATCAGTTAGTATACATATATCTGGAACTGTATGATAAAAAAAGAGTAAACATGGTTATCAAAATACTTGCAATGTTTGTGAATGTCAAGAAATAAGTAATTAAAACACTTGCATTTTAGAACAAATGACTGATTGAATATTGAAAATATTGTTGAAATTGCAAAACAACAAACAGGAGATGGATGGAAAAAGAAAAACAACACCAAAATATCAATTCTAAATTATTGCACTTAACTAATTCAACATTGTACATTGACAGTGATGACCAGTAATGAAAATAATACAAAATCAAAAGAAGATTATTAAAAATGACAACATTTTTTACTGATCCACTTGAAAAACAAAGAATGGCTTCATCAGTTGGCCAAATACCTTGTTGGAACATAACTTGTGTCAAATCCATGCCTTGGGGAAAAATTAATGGGGAAAAAGATATGCATGCAAATTCTTCAGTTCAATCAGATCATGCATGTGAAGTAGACAGGCAAATGAGTTAAAGTCAGTATGTTAAAAAATGGCAAACATATGGTGTCTGTAATGAATGCTTAACTCATTCTATACTGCAGGCAACAAACCCTGCACAAGAATATGAATGCTCAACTTTATAATTATGATAAACATAGCTATTAATTTTAGTGTGACTTAGAAACACGTACATACAAGAAGTATGTTCCTATAATTAAAGTCAACAATGAAAAAAAGATTAAGACTATAGATTTTGACTCTTGTGAGTAATATAAGTCTTTGGAACCTCAGTGGCAAGGGTTGAGTTAACGTTTGGGACGATAAATAACCAACACCTTTGACTAAGGGAACCCAGCTAGTTCTAAGGAACTAAGTGTAGACTAATTCCTAACCTAAAGATACTAGCATACTAGCTTGTTACACCAAATTATTGGTCCATCTACTTGTTTCACTAGATCAGATTGTTCAACCCCCCTACCCCCCTTCTTGAGTTTAAAAAAAAAAAAAAAAAAAAAAAAAAATTGGGGGGGGGGGGGGGATGGCAACATTCTCCCCCCCCCCCCCCCCCCACTTTTTTGAGTAAGAAAATTGGAAAAAAAATTGGGAAACCGATTTAAATCAGGTAATTATCAGGCCTGATAACAACAAAGAAACAAAAAAAGAGAAAAAAAGAAGAAGAGATGTCACATTCGTAATCACTAAATGTCTATTCCAATGAAGGAATACCACACTACATTTGGTCTTACCTGATCATCCTCTGAGCAGCGCTGGTATCTACTCCATCTCTGTACCCGCTGTTTCTCTGGAAGCCCAGCTGAGGTCTGTATCCACCGCCGCCGCCACCACCACCGAAGCCACGCCCTCCACCACGTCCTCCACCACGGTACCCCCGTCCACCCCCACGCCCACCTCTGTACCCATTGGCATTCAAGAAGTCCTCTGGCTTCAGGACTTTATCTGGTACCCTGAAATGTCACACCAGATATACAATGGTTAGCTTTTAAAGACTGAGAAGCTAGATACACCACAGCATTACTGTTTATCTATGCACTTGATTCAATTAAGATAATCTGAATAGCTATTTCTTGATACATGCATATTCATTTGTCTTTTGATAGTTTACTCGTCTACATACTTATGAAACATTCCTTTGATCCATTACTTCATAAACATTTGATGCAATTAAATTTCAATAGAATTTTTCTACCGCTTTAATCAGCCAAATTTTATTTCTTTTTGTATTAAACTATTACATTAAAGGGAAGGTCGAGTTCTGGGGGGGAGGTGAAAAATAATTTGTGAGTGTTTTCATTGTCATTATGCAAGTGTAGAAGAACATCAGATAAAAAGTTGTTCCCTGAAAAAGCATGGCTCTTCAACTGCCTTCATTATACTAAATATGACATGTAACAGCTTAATAATGAGGACCACATTTTTATGCCACATGTTTGTGTAGTCTCATATACATCTTTCTGTGTACACTGCTTGTTACTTTTACCAAGACTGGGCAATATTTCTTATCATTTTAATAATTCCAGAACCTTGCAGTACACACCAATACTTATATGCTACATGATCTCCTTTTTCTGATTGATGTCACACCGGTTCTTTCACAATGCACCAAGCTGGAAACATGTCACGTTTAATTTTGATAGAATACGGGCCATAAATGACCAAGTAGCACTTTGCTGAAATTAATAAAAATGTCTTATAAGCTGAAAAATCGACTATTCATCTAGAGATGAATAAGTTACTCACTTGGCTCCAGGTAATCTCTTAGCCTCAAATATGAAATCTGCTGGGTAGCTTGGGTCACGGAATGTCACACTAGTGGATTAGAAAGATTTAATTGTAAACATGACTAATTATCAAGAAATGCAGTGAATTAATCATGCTGAAACAAATGCTGTTAAACCCCCTCTAAAGTGTTGGGAGCCCCAATTTTAATTTCAACTAGGGCTTTAGTACTTTCTACTTGCCTGTAAAGCCCCTCTAAAGTGTTGGGAGCCCCAAATTGGCCATTTAAGACACACATCTGCAAAGATTTCCCTCCAAAAGAAGGTGTTTGAAGACAAATATTGATAAAAGAATACATAATTTTGGTTTTTTGCTGTAAAAAAACTAAACCTAAATGATATCCTCTTTCACATTATGACACAATTTAAGTGAAAATTTTGCTGTATGCTGAATTGAACGATGAACTAATCAAGCAATATGAAATATTTTGTCTTATTCTCAAACTTAAATGCACTCTGTAAACTTTTTTGATTACGAACATACATGTACTTGTCAGTATTTCGTTACGTCATTTAATTTGTGGATATTTGAGAGGAAAATAAATCAAATCAAATCAAAATTCAATCAATTAAATATAATTCACAATATTTACAAAAAAAATGCCCTTTCCAGGGAATATCTTTTGAAGGTATTAGATCCTCTACATTATGCTTGACATCACAAAGCATATACTGTTTGCTCAAGCATTCTTAAGAATGAAGCTCTTCCAGAATCATCATTTTATTCAGATTTTTAACAAGGGTGTATCTAATCATGTGTAGTTAAATTCAGCTAGGTCGAGTCACAAAATGTTAGTTTTGCATCCCTAATGATACATACCCTAACACATAGCTCTCTGGAATGTCTCTCAGTAGAGGTACTGGTGACTTGTGAGGTCTGCATAAAGATGAAAGAGAAAGAGAAAGATAGGAAGAAAGAGAGATGAAGAGGGGAGAGGAGAGAATGGTTCATAACGGTTCAATTAATTTTTTCTCAATCATAACCAACAAAATACAATGATGATAATATATACAGTGTAAAGTTAGGTGTGATTAATGAAAAATGGAAACGACTGAAAAGTTTGCAAAAAAATGGTAAGGGGAAGTCCCCAAAGTATACACAATATCTTTTTTATCTTTATATTTCATAAAGAGTATTTGACTCACGTTCATGTTTCATGTGTCTTGCAGTTTATTACATGAATTTATCATTAACTTTACACACCAATTTTATTGTGTGTTCTGTCTTTTTGTCCTTATGCTTATATTAAGAAACAATTGTGCTCTTTTTTCATTCTGACTTCCATATCTGGTGTATTTTTTAATTGTATGTTAAAATTGGCCCAATTATATGCTTTTCACACTGGTAAAATTTGTCTTGGCACACTTTGTTTTCACACTCGGTTTTACCAAAGTGGGCTAGCCCCACCGATAGTACAGGATTATTTGGATCCGGAAAAAAGCAAGGATAGTATCGCAATTGTGGTACTATCTATTGAAATGAGGTGCTTAGCGTGTCCAATCAGCAGAGATAAGCATGAACATGAATATTCATGAAATCGGTCAAAAGTGTGTTCCGTTTGTAGTCGTTTTGTACACAATCAAAGAGCGCATGTGCGAGTGTGCACTCATAAATATTCATAAACTATCCAGATAGTCTAGGGTTAGTGATTTTGAGTTGGAACACCACAAATTTCCGTAGCATGAGTTAGGCAAATAGTAAGGGGCTAAGAAAATCAACTGTGAAAAGCATATTAGGACTTAAAGGGATTGGGTAACTTTGCCTCAGATTTTAAAAAAAATCCTGGATCTAGCTCATGCTGCAATCATAATTATAACCTTCAGGTCAGTCAGGAATCCCATGACTTTTACAAGCCGATCGCCTGTCTGATTATCAAGATATTTATGATTGGAAATCAAAATCAAATTTTGCGTTTTCCTAACGGTTTTTATAACACTACAGTCTATTGGGGGAAAATGAGTATGTTAAAACCAGTCACTCAAAGATTTTTTTACTTTTTTGAGGCACTTCATGATCATTTTGAAGCAAACTTCTTTTTATAGGGCTTCAATATTACACCATATCACAGACACTGATAACATGTAAGGCCATGCATCCTAGATTTAACATTATTAAATGATGCCTTTAATAGCTATGCTATGCATGATAGTGTAACTGCACCATATAACAAAGAGTTAATGATTCTACTCACCTTCCAGGCAGAGTAACAAACTCATCATTGCCAATCTTTCCTCTTACTCCATGGGCAAGTGAGGGGCACATATCAGTATCAGGCTCAGCCTGTACAGAACAAAGAGAAAACCAAAAGTTGTCGTTTGTGTCAACCATCTTAATATATCATCAATTACTCCTACATTAACAGGTTACCAAAGTGAAATGCCATTGTTTAAATACCTCTAATCAGCATTAGCAGTGAAATAATTTTACTATCTGCAAAAGGATCACATTAGACAAAATATAAAAACACATTCAATGGAGGGGCACACATCGGTATCAGGCTCAGCCTGTAAAGGAGACAGAGAAAACCCAAAGGTTGTTGGTTGTGTCAATCATCCTAATATATCATCAATATCTATTACAATAACAGGTTACTAAAGTGAAATGCCATTGTTTAAATACCTTCAATCAGCATTAGTAGTGAAATAGCTTTACTATCTGCAAAAGGATCCCATTAGACAAAATATAAAAACACATTCAATAGCATATCAACTCAACCAAACCAAATGCATTTTCCAAGTGGTAAACTAATTGAGGCTTAATACTGTAGGTGTGAATTTCATATATGTGGAGTAAGTTTCTGATGTTTAAAGTGTGGTAATTTATATTTCAAGTGAACTGACTCAAAGTGGTTTAACATTGTTTGATAAAGAAGGAAATTATATGAATCAAAAGTGATCAAATCTAAATTTATGTACTGATCAAAGAGTTGTGATATATGCATCTCATTATTTAAACGCATAATCTATGCAATGTCTCAACCAACACAAAATTCATAGTGTGCTAGTTTGAGAGCTGAGAGCTGGGAGGGTAAAGTCATATCACATATTATAAGGGTTAATGCCTTTGTGGCTCTCAGCAGAGAAGATGTTCCCTTTCAGGTCTCACCTGTTCAAGACTGTTCGTCTCATACAGCTCTCTGATGAAGTTATAGAGAGGGTGATGCTTTCCCACAAACAAACGATCGGGACCATTGCTGTTTCTCTTCTCTGTGTTCATGAAGAGAAAAGATAAACAATAAAGATACATAGATTAGGGTTATTATCACTGTTGCTAATGCTTGACATCTTTTTTTGATGTTTGGTAAAACTATCTATTGTATCATCATCATCATCTCCATCATCATTTTCAATGTAATCTTTATTATCCTCATTTTAATCATTACCACCATCACCATTATCGCCATCAACATCTTAATCACCATCATCATCATCATCATCACCACCTTCCTCCTCCTCTTTGTCCATCATCATCATCATCATCATCATCATCATCACCATTGTCACCATCATCATCATCATCACCACCTTCCTCCTCCTCCTCCTCTTTGTCCATCATCATCATCATCATCATCATCATCATCACCATCGTCACCATCATCATCATCATCATCATCACCACCTTCCTCCTCCTCTTTGTCCATCATCATTATCATCATCATCATCATCATCATCATCATCACCATCATCATCATCATCACCACCTTCCTCCTCCTCCTCCTCTTTGTCCATCATCATCATCATCATCATCATCACCATCGTCACCATCATCATCATCATCACCACCACCACCTTCCTCCTCCTCCTCCTCTTTGTCCATCATCATCATCATCATCATCATTGTCACCATCATCATCATCATCATCATCACCATCATCATCATTACCATCATCACCACCTTCCTCCTCCTCTTCTTTGTCCATCAATTGATATCTACTTACTCTCTATCGGTGTGAGATTGTCATAGACCCCTGCAAGAGTTGTCAGGAGCCGGTGTTCATCCACAAATGGCAGTAATGCTACACCTAGGGTTACATCAAAGAACACAAGAACAGATATTAGGTTTCACGAGTTTACGCAAAAAGCTATAATGTACTGAAAGTGTTACAACAAACTTTTATTCTGACCCATTGCCTATAGGAACCTAGTGGCTCCTATAGTAAGCCTATGGGAATAAGAGAATTAAGAGAATTGTTCTAGGGGCTAAATTTTCTAGTGCTTGATATACATCCACAGGGGCATCCAAATATATCAAAATTGTCAAGAATCAATATCCACCCAAGTTTCAAAATTTCCCAAAACTTTGTATTAACTTTAAATGCTTTTAAATTTTCAAAGTTTTCAGTCCTAGAGTGCTACATATTTATTACCTAACCTCAGTCAACTTCTATTTGATTTTAACATTTTCAACAATGAATATTGGTGTGAAGTCTCTACTTCTCTAAGAAATAATTTATTCTGCAAGATTTGACTTTAAAGTCTCAGGTCTTGTGCACCTTTTGATATAAGCTCATCAATTTTCAACCATCGGCAATAGCCTAGCCTTTAGAAAATAAGTGCAGCTATGATTGGGGGATGGGTGGTAACTTAACATCTGGCCTTCTTAGGGTTATTGGTAATACTGGGGGTGTTTCACAAAGATCCTAAATTGAACTTATCTCTAGTTGGACTTACCAATTATGGAAAGCCGTTAGCATCTATGAAAATATTTGCAAAAGTTATATTTAAAAGGCCTACAATGTTGATTCAAATCATTCATATTTTCTATCATCAAGGAGATTTCATGTTCTTGATGAGGAATTTATAAAGAGTCTAAAATACTTGATTTTTCGCTTTTGAATATATTATATTTTAAGGCTACAAATGGCTCTCCATAATTTTTAGGTCCAACTTAGAGTTAAGTTCGGCTTAGAATCTTTGTGAAACAGCCCCCAGGCGTCATATGAGAACATGTTCCTACCTTGCCATGCATACTTCTTTCCATTGAGATCAATCTGGAAGTCGTCTGGATATAAGTCAATGATGGGTGAATCCTAAAGATTACATAGAAAAACAATTTCATTTTGAGACAATCAATGTATAGCTCAAGATTCTCTTGAAGACAACAAATGGTACAAAAACATATGCAGTACATTTTTCCTCATTCAAAAGGCAAATGAGTATAGCACAAGCTGGCGGTCGTTGTGTGGGCATTTTTGGTCGCGATAGGCAGGTGGCCGTTGTGTACAGATTCTCAATTACATGACATTTCACGGGGGATTTTTAGTGGTCGTTATGGACAAGTGGTCGTTACAGACAGGCGGTCGTTACAGACAGGTTTGACTGCATATATAAATATATATATGTTCTATATAATACAAAACTCAGAAATGTCCTTGTAGATTTAGAATTGTATGAATTTGTGAGGAACCGTTTGCAAACGTGTGTATGTCTCAGGACTAATATCGAAAATCTTTGCTTTCGAAGATTAAGAGCTGCATGAAATTGAGAGGGACCATTGAACTTTAAGCAAACTCAAGACTATCTGAAATCTTTCCTAATAACTTACGATATCCACCATCTTTTCCCTCCATGAATCTGGAAGGAAGTTACCACTGGCTGCAGGGAATACACTCATCAGTTGCTCCAGGGGATGGAACTGATTAAAGAAAAGGGAAAGAAAGATCATATCATAAATTATTCCAGCAACAATGTGCATGCTCCATGATCAATTTTAAACACAAATCAAATTTTGAATTTAACAACGGATCCACAGAATGTTTAAACCTAACCCTAAACCTAATCTAAACCCTGATCACAACCCGAACCCAAACCCTAAACCTTGATGAAAAGCTGCTGCAAATGTTGGATCGCTGTTAGAAAAGAATTGGTGCATGAACTGCAACATTGAATGATCAATATTATCCTTCTCTAAGGCAAACTGTGATTAAATAAAATTATCAAGTGACATTGAATTTCTTCTCTTTTTCTAGTTTTGACGCTCTATATCCAATTACAAACAATAACTAGGCACATCTAAGATCCTCTCTTTTTTAATTACATTTCAATTTCTTTTGAAGGAAATATAAAATGTATAAAGCAAGACATGTGTGGATGCTTGTACCAGTCAGTTGAAACCACGTTCAGTGTATATAAGTGAGGGTATAAGAATGGTCCCAGAATGAAGCAGATCACAATAACAGAGTTGAGAAGCTATCAGTACCTGACCGCTTCAGCTTCTATTTTGCCGACTACAAAAACTTGAAGCAAAAATTGTTTTCAATGCATTATTTTTAGTGTGGTGCCATGTCCAATAGTGTGGAATTTGTATGTCGAAACATTGCTATGCTTTAATTACATCATGTTGACATTCGATGAGAACTTGTACTTACAGGCTCCGTTCCTTTCTCAAAGTCATTAGGGAGGTCTTTGATATCCAGGAAGTCAGAAGCGAATGGGGCGTAGTGATAAGGGAAGTACCACTTCCATGAGGCACACCCTTGATAGTAGTACCGAAGCACCCAGCAGAGACCCTCGACATAGCACGCAACCTGACAATTCAATCAATCATGAAAAGATGGTATGATTACAAATGAAAGAACACATCAGGCGACTTGAGAAGGACTTATTTTCTACAGAGAATTTGGTTAGTGTGATACCATGGCAGATTCATATGACCTGTTAAATAATATTTTCTTATTATTACTATCAAATACTACAAATTGGGTATATAAATATCTGACAACTTATGTCTTTTTTTTTATTGTTGGAAGACATCTTTTCAAGAATCCATCTAATTCAAATGAGTTTGTCTACAACAAATTTTTTAGAAAGAAAAGGGAAACTTAAAAAAGTTATTGCTGAACAACAGATGGACATTAATCTTACTGTGATTTTTCACAGATTTGACACAACCTGCTGTGGTTTACTGAAGCAATTTTGTGTATATTAAATGAATGGCAAGTGGGAATGAAAGTAGTGGATGCATGCAACAAAGGTCCTACAAATACTCGCTTATCTGTGTGTTTATAAGACATAAATACATGAAGCACAGAACCTCCCTTATGTTACACTACAGCATATGTGAAAGAGGCTTTACCCGTTAATCTAATAACGATCTTAAACTCCATTCCCACAACTACTCACCACTTTTGCACGGAAATCATGGTCAGAGGAAGGAACATCAAACTTGTTTCGATAGTAACGCTCCTTCCAGCCATCTTCCCATAACCTGCAAACAACAAGAACAAAATAATTCATATTTTGTTACAGACAAGAGGGGCATATTCTACATGTAATGTTTTTTTTAAAGTATTCATGAGATCACTGTTAACCATTATGACACATAGAAGTTTTTTTTGATGTAGTTAACCAGCCTTGTGATAGCTTAAAATTTATATTTTCAGTAGAAACATGCCAAATTAATTGACATAATAAACATGTCATTACACAGTAACTGAATATATTATACTTCTTAAACTTTCATTTGTTAAGTCAAGCAATTTTCTGTAAGGCAATATTAAATTACCTCCCCGGATGTTCTATAGACAGTTATCATTATCATAAACACCATTTTAGACTTCTCATCAATATCATCCTCCTCCTCTTTATTATCCCTGAAATGATCTTCATCTTCATCCTTATTCTCCACTTCTTCTATCATCACCATCATCATCATCATCATCATAACCATTTCAATGATGATCCTTGTCCTCCTTCTCCCTCCTCCTCCTCCTCCTCATCATAACCACCATCATACTCCTAATCATAATCCACTAACCTGACAGTATCATCCTTGTCTTCATCTTCCTCCTCACCATGGCCTCTCTTAGTGCCTCTCTTCCCTCCTCCTCCTCATCATAACCACCATCATACTCCTAATCATAATCCACTAACCTGACAGTATCATCCTTGTCTTCATCTTCCTCCTCACCATGGCCTCTCTTAGTGCCTCTCTTCCCTCCTCCTCCTCATCATAACCACCATCATACTCCTAATCATAATCCACTAACCTGACAGTATCATCCTTGTCTTCATCTTCCTCCTCACCATGGCCTCTCTTAGTGCCTCTCTTCCCTCCTCCTCCTCATCATAACCACCATCATACTCCTAATCATAATCCACTAACCTGACAGTATCATCCTTGTCTTCATCCTCCTCCTCACCCCGGCCCCTCTTAGTGCCTCTCTTCCCTCCTCCTCATCATAACCACCATCATACTCCTAATCATAATCCACTAACCTGACAGTATCATCCTTGTCTTCATCTTCCTCCTCACCCCGGCCCCTCTTAGTGCCTCTCTTCCCTCCTCCTCCTCATCATAACCACCATCATACTCCTAATCATAATCCACTAACCTGACAGTATCATCCTTGTCTTCATCCTCCTCCTCACCCCGGCCCCTCTTAGTGCCTCTCTCCTCCTCCTCCTCATCATAACCACCATCATACTCCTAATCATAATCCACTAACCTGACAGTATCATCCTTGTCTTCATCCTCCTCCTCACCCCGGCCCCTCTTAGTGCCTCTCTCCTCCTCCTCCTCATCATAACCACCATCATACTCCTAATCATAATCCACTAACCTGACAGTATCATCCTTGTCTTCATCTTCCTCCTCACCATGGCCTCTCTTAGTGCCTCTCTTCCCTCCTCCTCCTCATCATAACCACCATCATACTCCTAATCATAATCCACTAACCTGACAGTATCATCCTTGTCTTCATCTTCCTCCTCACCCGGCCCCTCTTAGTGCCTCTCTCCTCCTCCTCCTCATCATAACCACCATCATACTCCTAATCATAATCCACTAACCTGACAGTATCATCCTTGTCTTCATCTTCCTCCTCACCCCGGCCCCTCTTAGTGCCTCTCTCCTCCTCCTCCTCATCATAACCACCATCATACTCCTAATCATAATCCACTAACCTGACAGTATCATCCTTGTCTTCATCTTCCTCCTCACCCGGCCCCTCTTAGTGCCTCTCTCCTCCTCCTCCTCATCATAACCACCATCATACTCCTAATCATAATCCACTAACCTGACAGTATCATCCTTGTCTTCATCTTCCTCCTCACCCCGGCCCCTCTTAGTGCCTCTCTCCTCCTCCTCCTCATCATAACCACCATCATACTCCTAATCATAATCCACTAACCTGACAGTATCATCCTTGTCTTCATCTTCCTCCTCACCCCGGCCCCTCTTAGTGCCTCTCTCCTCCTCCTCCTCATCATAACCACCATCATACTCCTAATCATAATCCACTAACCTGACAGTATCATCCTTGTCTTCATCTTCCTCCTCACCATGGCCTCTCTTAGTGCCTCTCTCCTCCTCCTCCTCATCATAACCACCATCATACTCCTTATCATAATCCACTAACCTGACAGTATCATCCTTGTCTTCATCCTCCTCCTCACCATGGCCTCTCTTAGTGCCTCTCTTCCCTCCTCCTCCTCATCATAACCACCATCATACTCCTAATCATAATCCACTAACCTGACAGTATCATCCTTGTCTTCATCCTCCTCCTCACCCCGGCCCCTCTTAGTGCCTCTCTGCTCTCCTCCTTTGAAAGAAGCTCTCATTGCATCAGCTGCACTCTGATCATGAAACAACAAAAATGCCCCAAAAGTTATCTTCTAAAAAATAAAATCTGGAAATGTGGATGTTATTGTGTAATGTACAAAAATGACTGCTCTCTTCAAAGATTATTCTACCATTGATGTATGTATCAACAGCGTCAAAAGAGTTGAACCTTAAAATCCATTAAAATATGATTTTACTCAATCAAATAAGGTACCATTTCTGAAAAATATGTTAAGTATACATGTACATTCCTCCAAAAAGTGTATTAATACAACAAGATTGTTTTTGTATACAATCTTATGTGATATATACATTTTTGCCTTTTTAATAATACAATCCTTAATGAATTTTTGCATTTTGTCTAATGAATGATTTTTACATGTTTTTTGTTGTGTTTAGGTTTGTTTTTTTTGTTGATTTTTTGATTTTTTTTTTTTGGGGGGGGGGGGGGCTAAAATCCCTTTCCAAAATATTTAATACACATATTAATTCTTTATTAGGGTTATAACAAATCCATAATGAACAAATATGAGATTTAGCAATACTGGTGCTACAGTATTTCAATCTTGTATTTCAAAGATTTTGTTTTTTTTAACAAACAAGCAAGCAACTGTACATGTACATGATAAAACTAGTTAATAAAGAAAAATGTTATTTTTGTAAAAGAGAGTTAGAAAATAATGTGCACAATGGATATATGAACATACACGTTTACAGATTAAATTTACAAATGAAAACATAATTTTTGGTTTTGAAGAAAAGAGAAAAGATGCACTCAATTGCATGGTAACATTGATAAAGCAACAAATTATCTCAGAAAAGCTGAGCAAGAGGGTTCCTGTATTTGGTGTAATGAAAACAAAAGTTGTTCAGTATAATGAGGAAAGATTTGTTTATAATTCATCTGGAATGTATAGAAAATTTGTTATGAAGCGACAGTCACTTCAATTTTTATTTGAATGGGAAAAAATGTCAGAATCACCTTGTAACCAAGTGAATCAAACATACGTAACTTTATGATTGTTACTTTGTTATTTTGACTATATCCAATAATTGTTATTTTTAAAATACTGGTGCTACACACCTGGTTAGCATTATCCCTTGATGACGTCCTAGCATCCCTACGCTGGTCTAAGATCTGCTGAGCTGAGCTAGATGATGGTCCACCAGTGATAGGCTTTAGTGGAGCAAGAATACAGCATTGGGTTTGAAGAAAAATAAATATAAGGTGTGCTGGGATATGCATCAATCCTTACCATTTAACAAAGGACAATTCCATACAATTTTTTCATTGATCAATTCAACCTACATCAATATCATGTTCTAGTGTCACATATGTCTTCATAAATGAATTTTGTAACAACTTCACTGCATGAAATATATCAGAAATTCATATTATTATAATTCCAATTTTTTTGCATGGAGAAACCCTAATTCCCTGAGTAATTAGACCCTGTTTTGATGGTTGCAACATTGTCTTAATAATATAATTCTGTTATTGCCACAAATATTTGAAAACCAATTCAAAGAGTGGCAGGTGCATAGCATTCCCCCAGCACAAATCATTTGAAGCTCCAAAAGAAGAAAAATCAATCTATCGATATGGGGTAAAGCAGCTTCTTCTGCTATATCGAGTTCTAGATGCGCCACTAAAGTTTACCCTTTCCTGATATTATTCCCATCACCTGATGAAGTTCTGTGAAATAATTGATTGAAGCTTTTGCAGGAGGAATGAAAAGATAAGCGAAGCAATAGAATTACATAATAGGGTAAAAATGAGCAAGAATGATAGAGGAGATGAAAAAACTACTTACTGTAGGAGCAAGCACACCTCCTGGTACAAAAGCTGGTGCGTTTGACTGAAAATGAGAATCACATTAAAAAACATAAGGAAGTCACCACCTACCAGCAAGAATTAGAAAATAATAATAATAGGCATTTCTATAGCGCCATCTATCTAAATAATTATATTCCGAAGCACATTTATTATTACCCTGGCTTTAGCCTAGCAGCCGTTTATACAGAGCTCCAGCATTTCAAGGAATTAATTCCTGCCAGGTACCCATTTACATCACCTGGGTGTTGAGTGTGGCAAATGTAGATCAATGTCTTGCCAAAGGACATTAGTGCCGCGACGGGACTCGAACCGCGGACCTTGCGATCGACAGTCCGGCGACGTATCCACTCGACCATGACACCTCTATTAATAATATCAATTATTGCAGCTAAGACATAAATGATTTCAAGACAAATTACATTCATTCACATTAAAAATAAACTTAGACCATCATCTAAGATATGAAGCTAGTCAATTTTTATTTATTTATTTTTTTCTTTTCTTTTCTTTTTTCCTTTTTTTTTCTTCCATACAATAATTCTTCTTTCATATATATTTGAACAATCTCTTATATTGTAAATTGGAAATGTCAAACAATAAAAGTCTGGCATTTATGACATAATTTCAAAAGTAAAAAGGGCTTTGCAGTTGGACCACTGGTCTTGGAACTAGGAGGAGCTCATGGTTTCAAACCAAATTTTAATATGATGGGACTTTATCTTAAAACTCAGGGGCATGAAGAGGGAGACGGAAGAGAATACTGGGAATGATAATGGAATGAAATAGATAACAAATAGACTCACTGATCGCTGCCTCTTGTTCCTCTCCTTGTTTCTCTGTCTGAAGCCCAGCTCAGTGGTTCTCCTCTTCTTGAAGATCTCATCTTCTGCTTCACCCAGGTCGGTCATCATCAGCTGGACACGTTCTAGGTTCACCACTCCATTCTCGGTCAAGTAGCCCTAGAAATGACAAAAGGAAATTGAATTAAAGAAACAAAATCAAGACAACAGGAATATTTTTTCCATTCTTTTTTTTTTTTTTGGGGGGGGGGGCGGCTTGTGAAGTTAAACATGGATTCATGTAGATGATTGGTGGGTTTCAAGGGTACTATGTTATATGTTTTACCTACCAGCAATCGCTCCATAGCCAAATTCGTTCTTAGCCCTCTACCAAAATCTGGACCCTGCCCCTTAACCTAACCTGCAACTGTAGCCCTAACCCTATACCTGATGTTGAAGTAAATCCCAGAGCAAGTGTCTGATTACTCTTACAAGGAAATTATAAATGCACCTGAAGTAGGCAACTGTGATCCAAATTAACATAAGAAAATTATGATGATAAGAATATTATTTCATTCAAGATCAAATAGGACACTACACCAGAAGTTCTTTAGACACATTTCACTGTCAGATTAAGACAACCATGTTCTATCTTCAATAGCACAACATACCTTTGTCTTGTAGACAGCCTTCTTGTAAAGTCGTATCAGCCTGTCAATCGCCCCTTCCCTGTTAAGACAAGAATAATGGCAAGTGAAGACAGTGAGATCTATAGGACAAACTTTCTAATCCTAATTTAGAACACAGTATTCATACAATATTGAGTGGCCTTGCTTGGGATACAAGGGTATATCCCAAGAGCTGAGGAGCATATTTCACGAGTGGGCATGAAAAAAAGCGAGTGCGATATACCCGTGTCTCACAAAATAAAAGCCATTTAATATCATTAATATTAATTGTATATCTAGTGCCACAATTATCCCCTTTACATCCTTACGTATTTTTTATTTTATTTTTATTTACTTAAATTCAACACTATACACAGGGTTTGAAACAGTTTCATCCTCACCCAAGCAATTTTGTTTTAGCCTTTGCGTGTTCAAAGATGCATTCATTGTTTTACATGTTTTCGCACCCCCAACCATGAGATATGGAAAAAATATTGCACGGTCATCTGGGTACTTTTGCATAAAGCGTAAGATACAATGATACTTCGGGTAAGTGCTTTAACTTTCATACAAATAGTAATACCATATATAAGTAGATTGCCTGAAATTAAAAGCATGTACACAAATATCCTGGACTTTGCTTCATTATCAACAACTGGGTTTACAAAATAATTGTTTAATCCAGATAACATTATCATTTGTTGCAGATGTTTAATACTACATTTACTAATATGACCGAGAGTGGTATCTCTGATACTGACCTGATTTCAAGTGAAGGCAGATGAGGCAAGAAGTCGTTACCCACAAAGAAACACATAAAAACCCAGTCATCAATGGCTCTCTGCAGAAGAAGATAGATTGGATGAGGAAGAAGCTTTGAATCAACATCTTATTTCTCCACATTTCAAAAGTGCCCAGCACAATGGGAAATTCTTTTCCTAAGACCATACATCTACTTTAATTTTACATTGCTTGATCTCACATTATTGTTGCTCTTTATCTCTCACTCTCGCTCTCTCTGTCTGTCTCTCTCTCCCCCTCTCTCCCCATCTCTCTCTCTCTCTCTCTCTCCCTCTCTCTCTCCCTCTCTCATTCTGCTCTACTGGTTCATGGGTGATCTTTCAGTATTCTTGAAGTAATAACCTTCTAAACTTAATCTACATATGTTAACTCACTCAAAATTTGATGCCGATTGTAAGGAAAAATGACATTAACATTCAAATTGAATTACAACACTTATGGAGTACCAGACTACATTCCAAAGTTTACTTACCTCTAGGTCAAAGGTGAAAGGTAACCCTGTCATCCACAGCTCTTTCTCCAGATACTGTGAAAAAAAGCACAATTGTATAATATTGTCAATATTACTGAATGTGGAATATTAGTTTTAAAAGATTGCAATTAGTATTGTGATAACTAGTATTTGTCTGAAAAGATTAAATTTGTACGTAATTTTGCAATTTCCCTGAATGAGTTTATTTATGGTAACATAAAACACATTTAATACAATATATGCCAATTTCTCAAAAGCATTATAAAAAGTTAATATTTTTTGCCTGAAAATTTCTATTATACCCATTTTTAAACACTTTCAGAATTTACTCAAAATATCAAATAGTACCTTTATGTTCCACGGAGAAACTATCTGTTCATAGACTTCAAAGTATATCAATTCATCAAGTAAAAGTAAATTTCACATTCTTTTTTTCTCCATACCTCTTTGAGGATGTTGAGTCTGAGGAATATGAACTCTGTTTCAGCTCCTTGTGGTACAGGTATCGTGTCCAGCTGTGAAAATACACATTAAACATGAATAAAATACTTCTGCAACATGAATTAAGAATCAGGAACTATATTTTCAATCAACACAATGTTGTATTCATACGACAGACTACAAATGGTAACAGATCAAGCAATCTATACTTTCTTTAACTTCTAATAAATTACCTTTAAAACTATCAATAATGTTGTCAACTTAAAAATGTATGTAATGTATATGAACATGATTTATTCTAATATACTGCAAAAGAAAAAGTAAACAACAGTGTTCGCAGATATTCAACAAAGAAATACAAATACAAATACAAATACTTCTGAGGAATTCATATAAAAAACTGCAACCCACTGTAATGCTATGGTCACATTACCCAAAAGTAGCCTGCTCGGCGGCCGAGCGGCGAGTTTTTAACCAATTCTGCCCGGCGGCTGCCCGGCCACCGAGCGGCGACCGGCCAGTCACTGCTCGTTGTTAGGGCATCGCTCGGTCGCCGCTGAAGTTTTAGCGCGGAGTTAAAATTTGGGCGGCGCCTGCCCACTTTTCACTCGCCGCCCAAAATACGCTCGGTGCCTGGGCGGTCGCCGCCCGGGCACCGAACTAATCGCTGGGCGATGCCTAATTCCAGCAGCGACCGAGCAGGCTACTGATCGGTCGGTCGCTGCTCTAATTTGTGACCATAGCTTAACATACACAATATTGAATTATGTTTTGATGCTTCATTCTCCTCTATTTCTTTCTACCTCAAAAATTAATATTCAAGAATTTCTGTGGATACATAAATCCATGAATATATCAATAATCAATATATATTGATATATTTATCTTGAATTATGAGTGTATCTGTATATACATACCTCGTTTGCTCTTTCTTTGGGAAGCCCCTGGCATTCCTTCATTTCATGGCCTACAAAGGGAAGTTAAAAACATAAGTCAAATCAATATTCACATATCAATCAAATCAAATCAATCAACAGTAACATTCAACTTATTATTATTATTATTTATTCAGCAAAATAAAGTGTATACAAAAGAATTACATAGAAGAACAAATCATACAAAACAAAGGATGAAAATCATTTTTTTATAATTATTGTGATTCCCATGAGCATTAACAAATTGCCAGGAACGGGGCAGGCAAACTAAATAACTGAGACCTTGAATATTTAAATTGATAAACTCCTATATATACCATCTTGTCAGTATTTTTAAATACAAATATATCATTAGTACTGGTATATTACAATGCCACTAAGAATAGGTTAGAAAGGGCCTTTTACCTTCTTGGTTGCACAGCTCACAAGCTCTTCTCTGATTTGGTTTGAACTCCTCACGGATAATGGTGAAATTCACCTCATGGGTAGCAAGACCTGCGACATCAAATTAAAATGATATCTTTTCTGCATTGACATATTTAATATTAATTATAGTGTATCTCCAATACCTTTACCAATATTACTACTCCTTCGATCTGATTTATGATTTTTTATTTTTTTTAATGCATGAGTGCCTCATCTCCATTTCTCAGGGAGTAGCCTTCTAGGTTAGATCACTGCAAAAGCATAGTGTATGTGGTAAATACAAACAGTTTAGTGCCAGAGGTAGATTGATCTCTTGCCAAAGGATGTTGGTGTGCCAATGTTGAAATAAACCTGGATAAGTTTGACTCATTGTCTATTGACATATCCACTAGATCACTACTTATGAGACCATTTAAATTGCTATGGCCCGTAACTGATGATTTGTTTGAAGTATACTTCCTATTGGGAATTAAATAATATACACAAATCAAAAGGGATCCAAGCTTACTTTCATCCAAGCAGGATTCCTCTTTAAAAAATTAGTTTCATTAATTGCAGGCCAAAATAGAAAAAATGTTTTGTGCATGTATACAAAAATGAAAATCATACCAAAAAAAAGAACCTTATCACTTACCCAACATAATCAGATCAGCTGCAAAGATTAAGAAGGAAAATAGATAAATTAGATTTGTAATGATTTTTACATTCTTATAAATAAAAAATAGTATCCATTGTTCATTTATATAATCAAGTTTGCTATATATACAGGAAAGTTCCAAGTGCAAACTATAAAATGAATCATTTGGAATTATCATGCCTATCCAGAAATTAATCAATGATTTTTTTTTTTTTTTTTGCGGGGGGGGGGGGGGGGGGATTTTTTGTTCCTTCAGCAGAGTGTTTAACCACCAAGCCTCCATCAAACAAATCACACCACTGAGCAAGTATAGACCCATGGCTGTGTCTTGCCACATGTACACGTGCAATGTGAAAACAGAAGAACATCAAATATGTTGTTGCCCAATTTTCAAAGTGTATCAAAAACTTGGAATTCACATCAATTAGGCAGCTTAAATATCATTGACGCTGCCTATTTAAAACTGATGTGGTTAAGTAAAGATTTATGAAGAGATTCCATGTTACTTACCATCAGCACCACACATACAATGGTGAGTGTTTGGGTCATGGTCTGGATTGGCTGTTAATACAATCAAAGATAGAAAAAAAGAACATTGACAACATCTTCACATCAAAGGTATGAGTATCTATAAAGAAATATGGTGTGCTATTGTTCGTCTATGACGTATTACAGCATCATAAACACCCATTTCTTGAATTTGAAACAGGCTCTTATAACTTGCACACAGTTTTTTTCTTCTTCATCAAACTCTGCCAAGATAGAGAAACAGGGAGGCATAAAGTTTTGGTATGTTTTTTTTTATTTGGAAGAAGAAAATAAAAAGCATAAGTATGATTGAGACAACATTATTGTTTGTTTAAATGTCTGCTTACCTCTTTGCTTTCTGATGTAGTCCATGATCTTGTGTTCACCTTCTCCTGGTGTGTTAGCATCAGAAAGGATCACCTGGAGAAAAAAACAGAGAAAAATCACTCAAATTAGAGACAACCTAAGAATGAGATATAATACAAACCTCAACAACATTGGTCTAGGTCCGTCATTGGAAGCACTGTGGAATATCAGTGTAGGCTCTTGACTGTCATACAAGAGGTTCTTGGTTTAATCCTCGCTCAGTGCGACACATCCTAGGTGCAAGTGGGTACCTGGCAATGCTGGGGTAATACAAAATAATTGCAGGGCCCACAGGAAGAGCACTAGCACTATTAATACTGATGTGGCTGCCATGGGTAAATAAAGAGCCAATCATTTATTATTGAAACTGAAAGCACATCTTTTCAATTAACTGTAAATCTAAGCATATCAGAAGCTCTCGTAGCGCAGTAGATTATATACTTAATGTTGGATAGTTCTGCGCTCTATAAATGTATTATTATTATTATTATCATTTAATGTAGATTTTCATAAAGAGTATCTAAAAGTGTAAACATGTGAAAAAATATGAGTTAGACATGGACAGCTTACCTTGATGTCTTTCCAGCCAGGATCACTGTTCAATCTCTCAGTGATGTAATAACGCAAGCAGTCAGCAAGACGAAACATAAACTCTGTACCCTACAAAAAAAAAAAAAATCAAATATTTTTGTTTTGGTTACATCTAACTTTATAATGTATGGGCATGATTCAATCTGATACAAATGTAGAACTGTTAACATAGGTGTACAGGCAGACTTTGATATTGATAAATCAATAACCACAGTTAATTTAATAAACAAAGACCGAAATCACAAGACACTTTGAACCATTACATTTTGGAACTCTTACCTTTATTTCCCATTTAGAAATAATTTTTATCCTGTAATTCCATATGAAGAAAAAATTCAAGCTTGCCAACTGAAATGTCTTTAAAATTTGCAATCTTGAAAGTGAAAAAGGCACATTTCTTGACAATCTTTTCAAAACAGAAATAGCAAAGTTGTCCTCCTCATCATATCATCAAATCTCACTGACTGTTATCAGTTTCACAATAGAAATGATAATAATGTGGATATAATGTAAGAGAGTTTGGAAATGTAATTTGGACCTTGAACATTCGTACCACTTCATTCTCCGAGAGTTTTTGTCAGGAAATGTGGATATTACATAAAACATAAAATCATCACTGGGATGAATTCACTTACAGGGGTGATGCAGTTGCTATCAAAGTGGCTTTCTTTGGCCTTAGGAGGAGGGAGGTATCCCCCACGGTCTGCAATCTCAGCTCGTATCCTTGCTATATCTTGCCTTTTATCTCTGTCATGATTGAAAATAAGAAACAGAATATTACAATCAATCATCATCATGACAAATTTGCATACAGTTAGAAGACAGGTACAAGTCTTCTGAATATTGTTGTTCATACTGCAAGTATTCGTTGGTAACAGATGTAAGAAATGTACGTTCCCTTTAATAGATAATCTATTCAATTTTCGTTTTGTTAAGCATATCACAATATTAATTACAAATGAGATATAACATAACAGATACAGTACATGTACTGCAAGGAAAATCATCATTGTGCCTTAGCATTATCTAGAATTTCTGTCACGTATGCTTTGATGATTGTCATAAACTCTGCATGACACAATGTAAAAGCAATTCTTGAGAAAACAGCTAAATGTCTTGGATTGGGATAAATTGGATTTGAGACTAAGCCATTGCACCAGTGCCATCTGGTAAGGCATTCATCTAAGACCATCCAGTCTATTACATACATTTGTAGGACGTAAGTGTCTAGATACGATGAAGCTTACTTACAATCATACATTGTGTATAATTGTATATCCTTTAAAGGATCCTTTAAAGCCTAATCGGTGACCATTGGTCCCCCATGATGCCCTTTTTCTTATGTTAATTGAGAGCTGATTTGATGAGATAACCCCCTGTCTGTGACCTTGCAGGGAGGTGTAATCCCCTTGGCCAAACAAGTGCAGACGGGCTTTAAAAAAGAACAATATCCCTCTCATACCTGCTCTCTTTTGAAGCTCTGAATCGACGTGAACGCTGCTGGTTCATCTTGGCACGAGGAGCTACTCCATCGATGGCCATGTAAAGCAACCTGCGAGGGCGCACTATGCTGATCAGGCGATCAATGTACAAGAAGATCTCACGCATCATCTCATCTTCATCCTTTGGCGCAGGTCTAGAATATTAACAGAGACAGGCAAAAGATGAAATTTTAAAAGAACATGTCATTGTGATTAGTTTAGTAGAACTAGGAAAGTACAATGTACATTAAAGGGAAATTCAATTTTTATAGCAAACTGCTGTAAAGGTAATTATTGAAAGTTGTAATCACGATGTGTACATTGTACATATTAGAACTTCAAATTGGTTGAATCGGTAATGTCACTGTGATGTGGTGACATCTCCCCATTAGTTCCAAAACACAAAATGTTGAAAATGTCAATGTTTCAAATATGTGTGACTCAGGAGGGCGTTGTTGTTTTAGAGGACCTACATGTATGATAAATGATATTATTACCCGCATCAGACATCTGAGCAGTGGTTTTACAAAATCATATTACACTTGTTTGTAATCCTAAAGGGCTAATCAGTGAATACATGTATGAGACCATATTCACCTTTCATGAAAAGCCTATGGGCTTTACGTGTTAAAAAAGCAGGAAATAAAGTCTCATATTCACAGCGCCGTATTTTCTCATTTTCATTGCGCATCTAGTATGCGTACGAGAACCTGCGCACTTTGTGCGCACTATATTGTGACGTAATAATCACACCAGATTAGGTACACTGTTTGCAGTGTATCAAAAATTTTGTCAAGCACTGGATGCACAGTGCTGGTATGACAAAGTTTGTTCAGTTCTATGAGATTGTCATGGTTGATTTATGTATTTGCTCTAGATGTCTGACTTGGATAATAATAACAATGTTGACTGGCTTAACTTTCGGGAGATACCACATATATTGCCCTCACAAGACCCATATTGCCCTCGTCTTTGACTCCGGCAATATGAGTCTAGTTTGGGAAATATATGTTGTATCTCCCTCAAGGCCAGTCCATCTATATTACTAATACGCAAAATCGCCGCGGGGGGTCCAAACGGGTACAAAACGGTTCCTCAAAAACGTCTTTCCCCGACCCCGCTCGCCTCCGCCGTGGCGCGGGAACGGTGGCACAATTCCACGAGGCCTGTCTCCCGTAACCCGCGTGCCACCTCGACCCCGCGATCGACGTCCATGCCGTTAAACGCGGTTTCGGGGTGCCGGGGAGGACGGGCGGACGAGAGCACGGCGGGCGTGGTGGATTGCGAGGAGGCGACGAACCCGCGAGAGCGAGTCGACAAGGCGTGCACCCGCCGTCTGTCTAATTATCAAAGAGAGACGAAGAGACACACGATGGACGAGAATCCACTCGCATCAACGGGTGTAGCAAGTCTTATTGTAAAGGCTGCGGCGTATCTCGAGTAAGGCCTCTTGCTATAGGATTCGCTTTGTAGCGTGTAAGAGAAATACACATTAACAGATGACTCACGCGGGTGAGGGGGTGTAAGAAATATACGCTCTCACGGGTTGGGTTTCCCGTGTTATGCGTCTTTCTATAGGATATGCTTTGTAGGCCAGGCGCCCATAGTGTACGTGTATTTCACGCTCACCTTCACACACTTTCACACACTCGATTTGAGTCGTGGCGATTGCGACAATTGGCGCAAACCATGGACCTATTTTCACGTAAAATTTACTCTGAAAATAATTATACAAATTCTGTGATCTATGCCAACATATGCATAGTCCAAGCTTCTGTTTTATTGGTCTTTTCAAGAAAACTACCTCGAAATAACAACAATAATAACGCAAATAGATCTGTGATAGTACGCCTAACCAATCTGCGATTTATGCACACACACAGAGCATACAGGATTTCAAATGCTTTCCAGCGCCCAACTCAGGCGGGTCATCACGGCGCTCAAGCCATCGTTTTACTGCGCCGCAGTTACTGCACTTCACTGTATAGATTTGATTTCCGTATGTTTGATTTCGTTTAGCGTTGGTTATTTGAAACTTTTGAACTCCGAAAGACTGTAAATATGTTAAATAGACTCTTGATGTTGGATTTCTTTTCTACTGACCTGTTAATGAAGGCATGAGGGATAAACAAAAAAAATAAGGACTGCTCTGTAATTGGATGGTGGTGGAAATTATCACTCCCTCGATTTCGTTCAAATACTGGCCCTTCTATACCCCCTCGGCTTTGCCTTGCTGGGTGATAGAAGGACCGGTATGAACACCACCTTGGAAATGATAATTTCATCCTCATGAGCAGTCAATATTTGTATATTTTCACTGAGACCTCTGGGACCTCTCTGAAGTTCTTTGTATCATCTATGCAAAATATCATTTTGTTGATAATTTTGTTTAATAGAACATGTAGTTTTAATAATGTATGTTAAGCCAAATTGAACAATTATTGTTACTCATGTTTTGATTTGGAACAAGTTCTAATTAGAGATGAGTGAAAATATGAAAAATGAGAATGGGAGGATTGAGAACAGTATTCGTAAGAAACTGGACGGGAAATGGATAATGAGAATAAGGATATATATGGGAATGAATGAAAAACAATAATCATAAATAATGAAAGTGAAAACGAAAGTTAAAGCGTAAAATAGTTTGCATTAGTTTGTTTACAAATTACTAATTTAATTTTTTCTTTTAATCTTCAAGTTTTATTATATGTTACAAATAAAAAAAAACATTTCAAAATGATATATGAAACAGCAAACAAAAGGTTAATATTCTATCGAATTAAATATTAATAACAAGAGTAGAAAAAGAATAAAAGGATAAAAAGTAGGCCTATACCAAGAGGGAAAATGAAATTGAAAATAAAAGGGGGAAAAAAAACAGAAAAACAAACATGAAAATTTAAAAAATCGATAGCACATCATTAACAACCACCCACCCCCTAGAATCCCGTGGATTTTCCACGGGTCCTCCTAGTATTATATAAATATGCTATCCATAATATATTTTGAGTAGTGCCCCAAAGGAGAAGGCAGTTAGGAGAAAAACAGAACTACCGGGTAATATTTTTGTACACATGAAACAGGAGAATTTGTCCATGACTACGTAAAAACCCACTGACCTATTTGACAAATCAAGATTCACTAGCTTAGTGATTTCATATTTCAAACATTCATACATGACTTACATGCAGATCTCTTATTATTTATCTGATTGATATTAATCTTTCAATATTCTGTTTCTTTTATAATTATGCTTTCATACAACTTAACTTGTTACAAAGGTTGGATTGCCCTTTAAGACATTCCCTTCCCCCTTTTCTAATTAATTCAACATCAGAGCAAAATAGAAAAAGAAATTTAACAAATATAAAAAAATATATATTCTATTCATTGCTGTAAATATAAACCCTTCAACAGAAAAAAAAACTAGCCATCAATTCCACATAAATATAATTCATTCATCACCAAACTCTTAAGACGGTGAGCAAATATTGTGTACTCACTTATTCTCTGGATGACAACATGGATGAATGATTCCATTCATGTCCAGGTAGAGGTTGTCAAACTCTACATCATTGGGGTTAGGCTGCGTAGTATCGACTGGAATCCTCACTTCGTCAACTTCTTTTGCCTACAATGTATATGCAAATAAGGATGGAGACGTGGAAAGACATGAACAAATGTAATAAAAATGCTTTTTCCCATTATCTTCTGGACTAACTTTTCAACATATACATGTACATGTATTTCTAAATTGAAATAGAGAAATCAAATAGTACCTTTACAGACCCGGTTACATGTAAGTCTTAAATGGTAAGCATTTTTTGTCATTATAATCCAAGATGGAGGCTCACATTTTTAGCCTCTTCTCTTACAACTATTAAATATTATCAATTTCAAAGTCATGAAAAGTCACTTAATATCAACAACTCCAAATTACAAAATAATCCCAGTCAATTTTTGACATTTAACAATATGAAAATAGTTTTAAACATGAACTACAACAACTTTAAATGAGAGAATTATCAAAGATATGATAGCTCAGTCGGTAGAGCAGTGGTCTCATAATCCTGTGACCCGGGTTCGAAACCAAGGCGATGCACTAATGCCCTTTGGTAAGGCATTAATCCTCATTACCAGGTCCCTCAGAGAGGACCTAAAGCCGTCGGCTGTCTGGTTGCTTACTTACATGTACAAGCATTTATGCTTTCTTAGCACTCAGGTAAAATAATAACCACCACCAATTTTAGGTGTTAGAGTACTCAAAATTTCAAGTACAACAGTAAAAAAAAAAAAAAATTTAAAATTAGATGGATGTCGACTGTCAATTTTGTGAACAGTAGGGGCGCTGGTCCGAGAATAAGGATGGTTTTCGTAAACGCTGACAGACGCGTTCGCAAAAATAAAGATCATCCAAATTTTGTGCAGACGTTTCATATTTCCTATCCACGCGTTGGCAATAAGAAAAAGACAGATTTTGCGATGATATTCTTGATGCATTTTACTTTGACTTTGTACAGAGACTTTCACGTTATGAGCGATAATAAATCCTCGGGAAAACGGACAACCCATAAAAGTAGATGGTAAACTGGGGTTATTTTCTTATGGGGAATCCATTTTCTGTATTGCCAGCGCGCTGTTCTGGAACACGAAATCTGCAGAGCGCCGATGAAAAAAAACGTCCACGAAAATTACGATCCTTACTTTTCAAGACGCAATTCTTTGAATATATTTTTTGTATGAATTTGCCTAAAGTAAAGGAGGGGTTTTTCAGCCACTTAAGACAAAATCCTATTTTTTGGACTCTTTACTTCCTATTTATTATCATTTCTTGTTCAAATCATGAAGCAAATACTATTATTATTTAAACAAAAAAAGAATCCAAGAAAAAAAATTGATGAATTGCTATGACAATATTCATTTCCATTTTCACTGTTTCGGAGGTAGTTATTGGCCTAGCGAGGCAGTTTTCGCCTGTACAAAGTCAATAGGAAGCAAGTAAGCGTGCCGTGCGTTTCCCCGAATCCCCGCTGATCTATTGCACTAGCGGCCGGAGCAGGTGTCCCAAGCCGGAGCTCGGCAGAGCTCGCCATGCCGAAAAATACTTCTGCGGTGATCGGAAATTGGAATCTGAATTAATGTGTGTGCTCGTATGTGCGCTGCGGTATCTGGCTGCATTAATTTAATACATGCGATGAGATACTTTTGAGCTTGCGACTCGCACAAAATCGGGCTCTAAATCTGAAAAATACTTGAAATAAAGCTCATTTTATGGTACCCATATTTCTTACACTGTTACAGATAGTGCTGTAGTGAAACGTTTAAGTGTCCGGTATCCGACTGCCCATGGCGGATTCCGTTTTCAATTGGATGGTTTTGTTTTCCTGTTTTTTTTTTTTTTTTTTGTGTATAAGTTTCGATTTATGCCCCTCCACCTGGCAATATGCCTGGCCATTTCTCCCAGCTCAGTAATCTGTGTGTTGACTCATCTTGGTTTGAAAGTAATCTTTGTAATAGATCTCATTATGTAGTTTATAATAATAATTCATCCAACCTTTACACACGGCGTACCACAAGGTTCTATCCTACATTGTAGGTCCTCTACTGTTTTTAATTTACATTAATGATCTTACACATTCTTCTAAAAACGACATTGTTACTATTATTTGTGACAAGTTCACAAGCACAAATCGGCGCCTTCAAATGCAGTTAAATGAAAGTCCTTCCCGCTTTTTCACACGGACCTGGCTCATTGCACAGCACTAGTTACAGACACGCGTAAGATACTCAATTTTTCAGATTCGGGTAGCGGGACCGCTGATTACATCGCTTAAATGTGATGTTTTAGGATATATTTTCCATTGCAAATATGGTTCTTCAGTGACTCTTGCATGGTATGGTATGTGTGGGATATGTGATATGCTATTATGCGATGTATTTTAAAGGGATTTTACCATGCATCCAACCAATCGGCCGAAAACTGGAGATGGTCGATTACACTCCAGCAAAGCATAGAGAGTCAATGCTAAAGCGTATTGACCTCTAGCACTGCATACATGCTGTGAGGCAGGGACCTAGAAGTCTATACACAAATATACACACCACACAATATCGCATAGACTGTACACAATCATGTCGATGTAGCTGTAAGCAAAGTTTGACACTAGACTTACAATTTGAATTTTTAAATTATTCTTTTTAACATCAGTAAGTTGAAAAAATGTATTTTACTGCTATTTAGGTGTCATCAATTGTCACTAAAGTACCAATTTTGAGTGAAATCAGTTGAGTTTTGTACAGTGGTGTTTGAAATGTTGAGAATCAAAAGCACGGCTTTTACTACACAGCCAGGATAGTGATGCTCCTATGTGTGGTCGATTACCCCCTCCTTTTTACTCTAGATCTAGAGTAAAGGAGCCGGTAATCGGCAAGCTCCAGTTTTCGGCCGATTGGTTGGATGCAAGGTAAAATCACTCTAAAACACATCGCATAATAGCATAACACATATCCCACACATACCATACCATGCCAGTGTCACTGAAGAACCACATTTGCAATGGAAAATATATCCTAAAATATCACATTTTAGCGATGTAATCGCCGGTCCCGCTACCCAAATCTGAAAAATCGAGTATCTTACGCGTGTCTGTAAGAAATATGGGTACCATAAAATGAGCTTTATTTCAAGTATTTTTCAGATTTAGAGCCCGATTTTGTGCTAGTCGCAAGCTCAAAAGTATCTCATCGCATGTATTAAATCAATGCAGCCGCACACCGCGACGCACACACGATATCTCTGTCTAATTCAGATTCCAACTTCCGATCACCGCTGTGCCTGTCTTCGGCCAGGCGAGCACCAGGGAGCTCCGGCGTGGGATACCTGCTCCGCCCGCTTGTGCTGTACATCAGCGCGGAAACGCAAGGCGCGCGCGAGCGCTACCTATTGACTTTGTACATGCGGCCGTAAACTGAAACGCTCGGCCGATAACTGGCTCCAAAACAGTGAAAATTGAAATGAATATTGTCATGGCAATTCGTGATTTTTTTCTGGGATTCTTTTTTTGTTTAAATAATAATAATATTTGCTTCATGATTTGAACAAGAAATGATAATAAATAGGAAGTAAAGAGTCCTAAAAATAGGATTTTGTCTTAAGTGGCCGAAAACGGGCTCCTTTACTCTATGCAAAAATAATTAAATGTCCTTCAGACAAGCTAAGATTAAGAAGAAAAGAAGAAGAAGAAGACAGAAGAAGAAGAAGAAGATAGAAGGAGGAGAAGAAGAAGAAGAAGAAGAAGAAGAAGAAGAAGAAGAAGAAGAAGAAGAAGATAGAAGAAGAAGAGGAAAAAGAACACAACATAAACCCTCAACAAAATTCAATAAGTGGGACAATGCAATGCCTGGACTTGAGAATGACAATGCCATGCATATGCACATGCACACACTCACTCACTGACTCCGTCTCACTCTCAATTCAGTCTAGCTACGTACACCAACGTACTGTGTATTATTACCTTTTCTTCCAAGCAGTGCACAACAATCGACGGATATTTTTTACTCAGCCACCTGAAAAATGCTGGAACACCCATACTTTCTGTCAGTCTTTCACAAACACGAAAAATATAATTTCCTTTATATCAACTCGCTTGTGATTGTAGTTGTACGCAGAACTGTTTTTGCAAATGCAAGCTGTTGCTGATTTTGCAACGTCTGAATCAAAAACGTGTTGGTGCTGTTAAAGTAATTCGTTGATTATCATATATCAAATAAGAAATAATTAAAGCACTTTTAATAATTATTTCTAATAATTTGAACTCCCTCAATACATTTGCGGGAAATATTATTGTTTTAATATTTTGATTAGTGTGCAAAGAAATTAATGCGACACACATTGGGAGCGGATTTTCACTAGTATTACAGCAGTGAGGGTTAACATTTGTGAACGTCGCAAATATACGGAAATGATGCTGCGCTGTGTGTGTGTGTGTGTCTAAACAAGGTGAAGCTAGCGCACTAAGTGGCATTGCCAATTTTATTTATGTAAAGATCGCTTCTACATAAATACGCGTGTACAAATAAATTAGACTCCAAAACAAGCATGAATGGATTTGTAAATGTTTTATGGGGGAGGGATCGATCCAAGTTAACATTTTTTTGAAGTTCTCGATTTTCCATTGTCATGTTCATTTTCTATTCATCAATACACGGGAACTCGAGTTACCGGCGACCATACGCCACCACCACCTCCAGTCAAAACTCTTCGATCTTCTTCGGAGTATTTAGGAGGAAAAGAATCCAAGATCCAAGATCATGAATAACACCATATAATAAGGGAGACCGGGGTGCGGCCGGGGTCAAGTGAGACGGATCATGATGTTGGACCAGGCGCGTACGCAGGGGTGGGGGGGGGGGTTTTAATAATAATAAAAAAAAAAAATTAAAAAAAATTATTCCCATGGCCGACCTAAAAAAGGTGACCTTACCCCCCCCCCCCCCCCCAACGGAGCAAAATGTCAAATTTTCAAATTTCGAGACAAAAAAAAAAAAAAAAAAGTGTCCTCTTACCCCCCCCCCCCCCCCCCCTCCCCCCCTTATTCAGCGGCTGGCTGAGTAGATGCGAAATTTTCGGCCCGATTTAAAAATGTTAAACCCCCCCCCCCCCCCTTGAAAAAATCCTGCGTACGCGCCTGTGTTGGACTAATTTACTAAATATTAATTGTGGCCTCTCCATTTTTATACGGTATTTAATATACTAATACAGGCTACATATTGACTTATAAGACACTCTCCCTGCCTTTCAAAATCAGTTTAAAAAGAGATCTGAAAGAGGTGGGCCACCCCCCCCCCCCCCACCTCCGGTAAACTAGGACCGTGCTAGGGTGTAATGAGGAGTCAATTAGAAGTGGGACAAAACTATACAAAATGATATAGAATTACAATTTTCAGGTAATTGATAAGTACGTTTTAGTAAAGACACGAAAGCAGAGGTGGCCCTCCCAGGGAGAGGTGGGGGGGGGGAGAGGGGCACAGGGCCCTCCCACTTTTTCAAGTTCCTCAAAGTGCCCCTTTTTCCATAGGAAAAGTGCCCTTTTTACTTTGACAAGTGCCCCTATTAATTTGTGAAAGTGCCTCTACCCCTTTTCTCCTCTGGCAAGTGCCTTTGTATTTTGACTTTTTTAAATTTCTAGTGACGGTGCTCCTTTTCAGGTACGAGAAGTGGCCCTTTTCACTTTTGATAAGATAATTGCCCTTTTCGAATCTGAAAGTTGCCCCTTTTACTTCGTAAGAAGTGCCCCCTTTTTTAACTAGGATAAGCACACCTTATATTTTCACATGTGCCCCTTTTCCCTTTTCGGAGGGGGGGGGGGGGGGGGGGGGGTAAGAGGACACTTTTTTTTTTTTTTTTTTTGGTCTCGAAATTTGAAAATTGGACATTTTTCTTCGCTTGGGGGGGGGGGGTAAGGTTACCTTTTTTAGCTCAGCCATGGGCTTATTTTTTTTTATAATTAAAAAAAAAAAAAAAAATCCAAAGGGGGGGGGGGGGGGGGGTTTACACACATAAAAATACCTAAGGGGGGTTCAACCCCCCCCCCCCCCCCCCCCCCCCCCCCCCCTGCGTACGCGCCTGGTGCTCAAGATTGTATGATGTATAAAGTGAAACAAATATTGAAATCATCTTTGACAATGTAATTACAATGTAGGGGTTTACCCATGTCTAAAAAAATGTATACTTTCGACAAATATTTTTTCCAGTTTTATCTAATTGTCAACTTGCCTGATATAAGTACATGTAGTTTAATGTACTAGTATGCGATGGAGGGTAGCGACCAAGCGCAACTTTTTCTATTGTTAGTGAAAGTTACTTCCTAGGGCATTTTTGGAGCTTTTTACACACATCAAATTGGCAATTCGCACATTGGCGTACTTAAATGAGCTATCTTCATTCTAACTATTTTTTTCAAGATTAGTTAAAATGATTATTATAAGTCAAATGTAAAATCATTCACACGTTTTCAGTTATTATTTCTAACTCTCCCTATATAGCTTATCGTAGAGAAATATTAGTGATATATTTTGCTGCTTGTGTGAAGAAATATTGCGACACAACTTAGGAGCGGCTTTTCACTTGTATTACGATTGTAGCGGGTAACCATTTGTGAACATCGTCAAATGTATACACCATTAGAATATTTTGTATTGTGCGACCATAGAGATATAATACCATGTGTGCGACTAACTAAACGTGACGTGAACAAGGAGGCGTGTCGAGGTTCGTCATCCAATATACACGAATCTTTTTAAGCTGAACAAGACTTAATAGTGAAGAATCAACATGGAATGTGAAGAGCAAGGTATCATCGATTTACTTCTCAGTACCAAGAAACTGGACAGAGATAAGGGACTGGTAGAATTGCATACGAAGTGTCAGCGGAGCTGCGCCAACGACCAAGCCGAGATCGCTGGCGTAGAGAATTCTTTGTTGTCCGTTGTGAAGGATTCGCGTTCGAGCTGGGAGGCTAAACATGGTGCTTTATTGGGAGCAAAAGTTCTTAGTGGTTTTGACGGAACCTCTGAACTATTCTTAAAAGAAATGCAGAAATATGCAATGCATCTTCTAAATGACCAGGAAGCACGTGTGAGGATTGCAGCAGGTAAATAAAATAAATAACACAAGACTCAAGAGAAGGTGATAGAATTAGAAGGTCGAAACAAAGAATAACAACATAGTCTAAGGAAAGACAAAGAGAGAGAGAGTGATAGAATGATAAAAACAAAGAATAACATAAGAAAAGAGGATAGAATGAAGAAACAAAGAATAACAAGGAAAGACAGAAAAAAGAAAGTAATAGAAATGATGAAAAACAATTATTAACGTAAGAGAAGGTGATGGAAGGAAAAACAAAGAATAACATAGGAGAAGGTGATAGAAGGTCGAAACGAAGAATAACATAAGGAAATACAGAAAGAGAAAGTGATAAAATGATAAAAACAAAGAATAACATAAGAGAAGGTGATAGAAGGTCAAAACAAAGAATAAGGAAGACGGAAAGAGAAAGTGATAGAATAATAAAAAATAAAAAAAACATAAGAGAAGTTGTAAGAAGATAGAAACGAAGGATAATATAAGGAAAGACAGAACGAGAGAGTCATAGAATGATCGGAACGGATGCAAATGACTGCAAAATGTGCCAATCTTTTGTCGATATTTTCATAATTTCACACCCAATTCCAGGGAAAATTCTGTCGCTGGGTAATTTTATGTACCTCTTTCCATTGGGGATATCAGATTTTCGAACTCTTACCAATTTACTATATACATGTACTAGGTCTGTTCAAAGAAACAAAAGGGATTTCATGCATTTTGAGTCTATAACCTAGTTCTTGCACTGCAGACTAGTAATATACACATGCCCTTATTATATTTCTCACTACAAACACATTCTGTCAATTTGTTCTTTCTCTCTTTTATATGTATATTTTTTTTTATTTCTTCTTCAAAAGGTGAATTGCTTGGATCACTGAGCAAATGGCTGGGGACTGATGTTTATCTGCAGTGCCAGGAGGCAATACTTGAAGGGGTGAAGTCCAACCTAGAAAGAGCCCCTCTCAGTGACTCATCTCTTGAAGAACAGGCCCAATTTGGACATCTTGCGGAGAAGCTTGGTGGAGGATCAAGCCCAGAGCATGTAAGGGACAATGGGTTAAATACCTAATGCTTGTCAAAGGATAGCAATGGCTGGTTCAATTACAGAGTATGGCCTATGCCGCTTAAAATAAATACGAATCTAGAACACTTAGAAAGTTAAAATGGATAACAGTTCCTGCTTTAACATTTAAAGACATATTTCTAGTAGATGAAAAGCCGCCTTTTAAGGCATTTATTACTAATTTACTACCAATGAACATTATCTAACTCACTCAACTCCATTTTATTATTGTAATTCTGTCATAAGTTGTTAATTTGGTGTGGATAAACATAATTGTTTAATCAATAAATAATGTGGCATATTCATAATCATCAATCAGTTGCTAATCTAATTCACTGTTCTATGCAAATTTTAAGGAATTATTATTTCATCACTTAAGGCGCTAAAAAGAAAGTATGAATATATTGATCTATCCTAGGCTCGCAGCAGTAACTCAGAACAGATATTTCATGACACAGCGGGATGGAAAAATCTGGAAACATGGATGAGGTGAGCTTCTGTTTATATTTTCATTATCATGTTGTTTAAAAAAATATTTATGGTCGGATGTTTATGAGAATGTAACAGTACCGTTCCTCTTATTTCCATGATATTCAATATTTTGATAGCAAAATCCCAGACCCTTCTTAACTTTCCGCTTCCCAAAGTTTGTAAACCTAAAAGCTAATATGGAAAGATTTAACATAAGTTACAAAAATCATTGAAATTATGAAATGCTCAACAAATAATCTCAATTAACAGTTATTGTTTTGTATTGACTATCTGTTTTGCCCCAATACTATTAAGATATAAACAAATTTGTGGTATTAGATCCATAAAGTCTTTCAAATCACATGGATGAAATGATATTACTTTTGCATTCGCAGATGCTTGCAGTCAGTGATTGAAGGATGTGGATCAAAGTTTCTCCCTTTCATCAACCAGGAGCTTCTAGACCTTATATTTCAGTCTCTCACCCATACCAATCGCTTTGTCAGAGAGACAGGCTATTATGTTTGTGCCACTCTAGTCAGCTGTGGTACCTCCAATGGTAAGCTTTTTAATGGTTATCCATTTCATCTCTCCCTCGTTTACTCTGCTGTGTGTTATAGTGGTAATAGTACAGTGTTCATGCTTGACAAGACCTTTTTATGATGCCTTTCTTTTATTTTGTTGGTGACACAACTTGATGAGATTTGTTTGCTGTCACTACTAAAGATATGCTAAACTAACTCTTCTCAATGAAACTATGTATTTATGAGTCTAATGTAAGTAGGCTTGTCCCCAATGATTAATTCTTTCCAGAAATCATAGGATTTATAGCATAAACAATACCGATAATGAACTTGAAGTATACATAAGAGTGCCTTTTTTTCTACCTAGTATCTTTAAGAAACCCTAAGAGAGCAAAGTAAACAAATTTAAGACACTAAATTTTCCCTTACTCTTCCTCTCTTTATCACTCAGAAAATTTCCATTAATATCATTTCTTCAAACAGTTTATGAAAGATTTATAATTAATACAATTTATGTCAATATTCTTCAAAACTTCTTACATAATACCTTTTATTTTGGGGTGTTAGTGTGGAAAATCCAAAATGTTTATATACATGTATGTCCCATCACTTCTTTGTAGCTGAAGATGATGAGATGGAGCTGAGTGAAGGACAGACCCATAATACCATCCTGGTCCATGGGGATCAGTTAGCTTATCACTTTGCTCAAGGATTGGCTGACAATTGGAGTCAGGTAAGTCATCTGAATAATATAGTCCACTCTGAAGAATAAATTGGATTCATCATCATCATCATCATCTTATTCTCCCCCCACTATTTTGGATATCAGCTATCCCATGGGTAGCAAAGACATATAACTAAACTGGGTACAGGAGCACAAGAGTGAAGCTAAAGAGTAACATCAAGGCAATGGACTGATAACAGTCGATTCATGACTTGTTGTAGTCATCAATGACAGTGAAACATCGATAGACTGATAGTAGAATTGAAATATCTAGAGTTGATTGGTTGATGACTGGAAATATATTGATTTGATTGGTTGATGACTAGAAATATATTGATTTGATTGGTTGATGACTGGAAATTTATTGATTTTAAATGATATTCCTTGCCCAAAAGTTGAGTTTCCTTGATTCATCATCATCAAGGAACAAGAAAAAGTGAACATATTTAAATTCACATTTATATTTACCAGAATATAATTAAGCACATAGTGAAATCCTTAAGATACACGAGAGGAACTAGTTCCCGATTCAGGGGGAGAGAGTGAAAGAGGAAGAAAAAGAAAGAGAGAGAAAGAAAAAAATGAGTGTTCAAAATAAAAGTGAATTAAAGAAAGAGAAAGACTTGAGTACCATAGTACGTTTTTTCTAGAAGGATATTTTTTTTGAATACCTTAGGTTCGCTTGGCTGCTTCTACTGCAACCAGACAGTTCCTGCTCAATCTACCCAATGCCGCTGCTCATCAAAGGTTCTTTCCTGCATTACTACCTAGAATGTGTCTGAACAGGTATTTAATATAAATTAATATACCCATATTAATATGATCATGTTTTTTAAACAATGAAAGTGTTTTTAATGGACTGTATGGTTGTACTGTAGCATCTGAGAGAAAGCAGGAGATGCAGCTCTTGGACATTGCAGGAAAGGAGAAAGATTTTTTAAGTGTCTGATAAGTATATGAAAATTCCAAAACAATGTAAACATTTGAATTTTGTTCACCGTACATATCCTAATGCAGGACTCAACAACATGGTTCTGGTACACAAGGACTCCGTATTCTTAAAATATTATAATATAAACAGGCCTAGTAAACATGGGCCCCCAATATTTCGCTTAGAATCCCACATGTAAATAAGTCAGTGTGAAACCCTTTATGCATCCCTTTAAAGCACCACTGCACTAGCTATAGCTACTTGCGCCCTCTATCTAGCAAATAATGCCTAATAGGTGACCATTGCCCCCCCCCCATGGTCCCCTTTTTCTAATGTTAATTGAGAGCTGATTTGATGAGATAACCACCTGTCAGTGACCATGCAGGGAGGTCTAATCCCTTCCGGCCAAACTAGTGCAGATGGGCTTTAATATCTTTTCTCTTGTCTTTCTACAGGTACTATGTAGCAGAGGGAGTGAGGATATACTCCCAGGAGACTTGGCGTCAGGTGACTGGCTTGCATGGCAAGGAGCTGGTAGAACAACACATCGGTCATGTTGTATGTTTCTTTCTTGAAAGTTTTTTGCATTTAATCAATAAGAATTGCTTTTAAAAACTGCATTTAAATTTCCATCCTCTATTAAATTTGATCTTTACTATATACTTTTTTTTTTATTAGTAAACACCAATCACCCTCTCTACATTTATGAATAGAAAAAGAAAAGGTCAAATTTGATACATGTAGTAATAGTGTGCAGCTTCAAAGGTCAAACCTGAATACATAAACTGACTTGCCTCACTTTTTTAATTTTTTGATTTATTTTTATTTGTAATGCTTGTGTTGTTAGGTGGAGTATTACATTGAAGCAAGTGATGCAGACAACCATGCTGTAAGGGAAGCGGCCTGTGCATGTATTGCAGAGCTTGGTGCAAAGGTAAATCTTCTTCTTTTGTAAAGTTTTTTATTCATCTTTTCTATTGGACCTAATCTTGTAGTTTTGAGAACTGTATTTCTGGTTCAGTGTGGTGCCAAAATAGCTTGTTAGTTGAATATTTTTTTCTGAAACAACAATTAATTGGAGAGCACATGATATTACCATTAATTTGAAATCAGATGGTTTCATAGAGTGAGCTCTATTTATCCTAAACATTGTTTGATTCATGAATGCTCAAGTATTTTTTTAGAGGGGAACATAATTTTATTATCAGTAAAATCAATATAGACTGATGAGTATTAGCTCATTCTAGCAATAGATAACTAGAATTGAATAAATCATGTAGAGAATACAAACATTTATACAAGACAATACAGCATTTTTGGGGGAAAAAAGGCAGAAATCTTTTTTTTTTAAATTAATCAATGAAGAAGAACCTCCTGTATTGAATGCAAAACTTTGTGTGACATTATATATCCATATTCCAGATAGAGAAAGATGTAGTACGCGAACATGTTCCTCGCCTACTAGGCACTCTACTGGTATGCTTCAGGGATGACAGTTGGCCAGTCAGAGATGCTGCCTGTATTGCATGTGGTAACTTCATCAAATGCTTTCCAGAGGAATCCAGGTAGGTGCATTATCCTAAAATGTCTCCTATTATTCTTGGATATATTCTCACACATCTTGATGGTTATTTAAAAAAATCTAATATTTTCTCACCTGGTATGAATGCTATGAGAGTGCTGGTGAAAAGGACATATCTCTTTGAAATGCAAGGGCTAAAACTAATCAATTTGATACTGGCATTTTGAATGTCTATAATATAGGAGTAATTTTTTCATCCAAAATTGTGCATCTCATCATTACATTATCATGTTGTTCTTTTCTTATTTTCATCAAATGTATGATATCACTATTACTAAAAGGTTCGCTTTCTATGCCCCTATCACAAGGAAATGACCATGAATGGAAAATGAATACCAAAATATCTAACATACAGTGATTAGTGATGAGTTGTCAGTGACCAATGGGCAAGACCTTTCATTCAGTCTTCTCTCATTTGTTTTCATTATAGGCAGAGCCTGGATGCTCTTTATCCTCTCTTCTATGAAAACCTACAAGACAATATTCCATCTGTAAGACAAGGTGCAGCGGCTGCTCTAGCTAATGTCACAAGGGCTTATGGTGAGTATAGGATTGGGATAAATCAGAATATAGCACCTTGCATTGCCACATTTGAGTCCACTTGTATGCAAAGCTGGGTGTACACCTGGGTAACATAGAAGTATTATTAACAAAAAATAATATTTGCCGGCGTAAAGGCCGCAGTATTTTTGGTAGAGAAAATATCAAAAAGTCGGGGTGCGGCCTATGCGACGAAAGAGTAAAAAAAAATTTAAAAAGTACGTCAAAACTAGCACGAATTTGCACATATGGGACTAGATCTACGAACGGTACAATAACTATACATTTCCACACATCTTACCGACAATTTTATCTTGCATTGTTTACATGAAGACGAAAATAAACTTCCAAAAACAACATCTGCCAATAGATCTTGATCTAAGTTCGTGCCAATGCATTGCAAAAGTAAAAGAAGGGCCTGTTTAACGGAGCTGCCGCGAAGCATCCAGCACGCGAATTCAATACACAAGTGAGAGGCGCAATGTATACATCACAAAAAACTTCTTTTTTTTTTTTTTTTTTTTTTTTTCAAATGTCAGAATCGGGGTGAGGCATATAAGGCGCTGCGGCCTTATCATCGGCAAATACGGTATTAAAAAGTTTTGTGGAGATGTTAAAAAAAAAAAAAAATCATGGTAACAAGCAAGTGCTTCTCAAATTATATGTAATGGCAGGTTTATTTTAATACAACATTTGTTACAGAGTTCTAAGACCATTGTATATTCTCTTAATCATATATTTTGTCAATTTTCGCCCCTTGAAGTGTAACAGTATGATCATGAATAGTTTGATGCAAATTCACTTATATTTTTTTATTTTGTCATCTATGAGCAAGTGATGTAAATAGGAACACCTATAGCAGTCAATTGTCTTTGAGCCTAGTAAGTTAGAACAATATTATGATATTTCCTTCTTTTGTCAATTCCTTCTCAGGTGAAGCTGCCTCAAGCATTCTCCTGGCAAAGGTCTCAGAAGGCATCAAGGGTTTGGAGAACCAGCCCAAGACGTCTGAAAGATACAGTGGTCTCGAAAAGGGTCCAGCCACATATGGACTGGTCAAACAGCTCAGAGATAACGACATGGATCTACATTCAAACCAACAGGTAGATGCAGGTTTTGTCCTCTAGTAAAAAAAAATAAAAATAATAATAATAACTATGTCTTATCTTTAGCGTGCCTCTGTATTTAAAAAGAGAACCCAGTTATGGATTATTCATTTTCAATGGCATTTTTTTTCTTCACATTTGCATATGGTGCAATTATGGTATTGAATCCTTAAAATTAAATTTAACAATTTCTTTTAATTTTCAGTAAATGAATAACAAGATACTAATGATAACATTTTATTTAGTAAATGATGATTTAATAATAATAACAACATTTATAATGCGCACATATCCGCCCCGAGGAATGCTCATTATTACTCCGGCTATAGCTGTTTTGCCATTGCATTAAGCATTTCAAGGATTTAATTCCGGCCAGGTACCCATTTGCATCACCTCGGTTGAGTGTGGCAAATGTAGATCAATGTCTTGCCAAAGAACATTAGTGCTGTGATGGGACTCGAACAGCAGACCTTGTGATCGAAAGTTCGGTGACGTATCCACTCGACCCAACACCTCTACTAAGATCATACGTTTAATCATGCAGAATGTAAAATAGGAACTATGAATTTATCTGTCATGAAAGATAAAAACACACGACACAACATAAGGTCACCAAACTATAAGTCGGTCACCTTCGAGAAATATACACCCCAAAATATTATCTGGGGCACAGGATGTAATCTACCAGCAAGGAATTCATCTGTCATGAAATTAACAAGAAATCAATAAGCAGAGCATCTTCCTACATTCCATCTGTCAATCAAGGAGTGAAATTGACTATTCAAGCATGTTGAAATTAACAAGCAAACTCCTTCTGCCTTCCTGTGAAATGTACACTAAATCTGTAAACAAGGAGGAATTTAGGTCACAGTGTGCCCTTTAACAGTTGCTACCTCTTGATACATTGCAAGTTGTAAACTACCTCTCTTTAGAAATCTAGCCATGTGATTGGTCGAAATTGGAGTCGTGATTTTAGCCATGCCCGCCTACCGGTCAATAGTCTTTCATGGTAAGAAAGAGTCGTCACTGTGTGTCCATCTATATTATTCTATGTCTTTCACATCGTGATGATTTTGTTTCATTGCAGATGTATTCCTGTGGTTCCTTGGCTCCTAAGATGGGACGTGGTCGAGAGGGAGGCTGTATGGATCACAAGTTCAGAAGACCACCTGAAGCATGGGAAAAGTGTGATGGGTAAGTCCCTTTCTCTTCTTTGTGTCTGCCCTAGAAGCCTGTATCCTGTTGATGGTGTTTAACTTTTCCTTCTTCACACCTGTTGAATGTGTTGTAGGTGTTCTAGTAACTGGTAATTAAAACAAATAAAAAATTGGTAGCTGATATCATAAGTCATTTTGATAAAATTTGAGTCACTCTTGTTGATATTGTCACATGTGTACCATATGTAGAGCTGTCACATTAGATTCATGAAAATTTATATTAGTTGTGTTTGAACATAGCCTAAACTAAATCTGGTATAGTTTCCACAAATGTCTTATGAGAAGACTTGATGTATGGTATTTTATGTTGATAAGATTATCATATTGTGATTATCTTTACAGATGCATTCTTCTGTTATCTGAGCTCTCGGCTATCCAATCTCTAGCTGCTGAAGTCGCATCATCACTCCCACTCGTGGCAGAAGCAAGCAGAAAGCAGGATTACCCTCAGCATGTCTGTCTTCTAGAAACTATCTGTAAACAGGTAAGCAGGTCAACTTAGCATAACTGGGCAGTGTTTCATAAAGACTAAGATCAACTTTAAGTTGGACTTAAATATGGCAGGCTGTTCAAGCCACTATTTGCTCTCACCATTTACTGGCATTTGTCTCTCAAGGGATCTGCAAATCATGGTCACAAATCTACAGAATTTATATTTTTTGATAATTCATTATTGGAGAAGAAAATATTATCTAAAGATTATAATGGGGAGTGCAAACAGTGGCATGAACTGCCTGCCATATTTAAGTCCAACTTAAAGTTGATCTTAGTCCTTGTGAAACACTTCTTTGTGAAGTGTAGGAAAACACATGTAACAATTCAATAGACCAATTTACTAACATGTTCAAATTTTATCCATACTTTCTAAACAAGGTTGGTCTTGACAACTGAAAGCTTGCCCAAGCCTTGTCTGACATAGCAACAAGTAATGTATGCAGACTGGATTAAAAGTATTGTGGTTAATTCATTTATAACGGGTTAATGGAATAAGTTTTCACTAGGTCCCCAGGAAAGAAACATTCATAAATGTAAACAGGTTAGTGAACTGGTCTATTCAGCGATGTACCCGAGTCATACCACTAAACAGACTCTAAACTGACTCTAAACTGACCGATTATTGGCTATTTTGTGTTCTGTACTTTTTTTTAAAGGGTTTATTATCTGTCTAGGAGCAGTCTAGTAGGTATGCTATGGTTTGGGCAAAATACGTGACATAACACAGGGCTTTGCTTATCTGTCAGTTCATAATGAAGCAGTTTTACTGTGCTTTATAAAGGAAGAAATACATTTGTGATGTTTTAAGGATCTTATATATATTTGTTATCCATGTCTTTATACAGCTACCAGCTTTAGGAAAGAACCTGGGGAAAAGACACTTCAAGCCCCATCTGGAATTGTTCTTTGATCCCATATTTGAAGCTTTGGTAAGAAAAGCAATCTTTGTATGGTCTCTTATTTATCTTTCTTAGTGCCTTTCTTCTTGCATATTTTAGTATTTTTATATATTTTCTTGTTTTGCCTTTCTCTCTGACTGCTTAATTTCTTCTTCTTTCAATATGTTATGTTATTTATTTTTCTTTTCATTTTAAATTGACCTACGATTTTTTAGCAAAACCGATAATATATGTTCTGGAAATGATCATCGAATAGGTTGAAAATGGATGAGGATTTTAAGTTACATTAATGTCGCACTAAATAATTGATTGATCATTCTTCATATTCTATCTCTGTCTCTTTGTTATCCGTTTATCTCTTTCCATCCATCTATTTCCTTGAATCTCTCTCCCCACCTCTCTCTATTTTCATTATCTCTCTCTCTCTCTCTCTCTGTCCCTATATCCATGTTTCTTGCCCTCTCTCTCTCTCCGATTCTCTCCCCATACAGAGCTGCGACAATGCATTGACAAGTACAGCAGCCGGTCAGTGTTTAGATGCTTTGGGTAACTTTCTTGGCCCTAACATCCTCAGAGGGAGAATAGAACAGTATAATCCACAGTAAGTCATTATACCATGGGGTAAATACTTACATGTAGTTTGATTTACATTTGTTATGGGATTGATGATACTGGTACATGCTTTTACTAATGAAAACTGGTATCATATCAGTGCAATTTTTGTTTAAATGTACGTACACCTATACTTATATACAAAATACTTGTACAACATCTACAATTCATTCTTGTACCGGTACTTCAGATATTGATATTTTCTGTTTACTGTAATACATGGCTGCCACAGGCATTCATTTGTTGCCAGGAGGATTTCTATTTGGGGGACCTTAAAACTTATATTATGAACTCAAGTGGATTCTGTATTTGAAACTTGGGTATAAAAGTGTACGAAATGCATTGTGTACCCAATTTAGCCTAGAGAGATTATAGTTGAAGATTGACATTAATAATTTTTCTATATTTTGTTTCCCCTATTTTCTCTCTCTCTCTCTCTCTCTCTCTCTCTCAGTTACTTGTCGAAAATGAGCATGGGATTTCCTGGAAGGCCATGATATGATTGCAAGAGAGTGATGCAGATTACAACCCTTGCTATGCATCTATGCATCTTTGCATCTTGATGCACAAGATGAAACAAAATGCACAATCACACAAAGCTAATAACCAATCAGAAATCACACATTAGCTCTCAATGAATGAGGTTATTGTTCCTCTTTTTTTTCTTTTTTAGAGAGGGAAATGTGAAATAAATGTTTTCATGTAATGTTGCGAATGTAATGCAATCGCAAAGCTGATAATTTAATGTTTATTACTTTAAGAACAGAACATAGTTTTCTTTGTACTGCATCATAATGTACAATTACGGATACATATCAGAATTCAAGCATTGTCCTAAATAATTATCTTACACTGTGTAATCCAAAAGCTTTCAAGATTCTCTTTTGTGTGTGTGTGGATCTGGCAAAAATTTGATGACATATTACCTTTGGCTAATTTGCAATGAATAATTGCAACTGGATAAATGGAATAATTTATGCATAGGCGACTGTAAAACATGTATGCAAACAAAGTTTGACTTCACAAAATGAGAATGAATCTATATGTACATGTGGTATAAATCATTACAGATGCACAAATCTAGACAAGCATAATGTGTTGTAACCATGAAATGGAATCATTATCTACATACCGCCATTTGTAAAATGGAAAAAATATTATATCTTTATGAATATGATTAATTGAATCACGATGTCCATACATTTTGTTGTTGTAGTAAATTGCTACAGATTTGAAAAAAACTTATGTGGAAAATAAATGTAAACTGCATATACAAAGCGAATAAAGTGACATGTTGTACTGTATACTCATGTATGCATCTATGCCGCCATCATACTATTCAAAATGGATATTTTGATGCTATTAAAATACAGCAAGCCTGGTTGAAATTGTTATGTTATGTTTTGTTTTGTGCTAGTAGATTACCTAAATAGCAACCATATTGTATTATTGATGTTCCTATAAACATTTCCAGAGTTGCTCATTCTTATGTCAACCTTCAGACAAGAAGGGGCTTTAAAATGAAATGAAATAGGTAATATCAAACAGCATTTGGGATGAGATCCTTTTGATGAATTGGTAATTTATATTTGACCCAGTCAGTGAAATGAAAGGAAGTTTGATATTGTTTTGTATTGTTTGTTTCTTTTTATAAAGTCAATAGATTACCAAAATAGCAGCCATATTGTATTATTGATGTTCCTATAAACATTTCCAGAGTTGCTCATTCTTATGTCAACCTTCAGACAAGAAGGGACTTTAAAACAAAATGAATTAGGTAATATCCAGCAGCATTTGGGATGAGATCCTTCTGATAAATTGGTTATTTATATTTGACCCAGTCAGTGAAATAAAAGGAGTGAAATGAAAGGAATTTTGATATTGTTTTGTATTGTTTGTTTCTTTTTATAAAGTCATCTTGATTCATGTAATGATACTGCATGTGTGATTGTGTGACCTACTGTAAAAGTCGTACCATGGCATACTGTTGATGCCCTCAGTCAAAGTCTTTATTAACATCTATGATACAAGCTCGCTCACTCTCTCTCTCTCTCTCTCTCTCTCTCTCTCCCTCCCTCTCTCTCTTTCGCTCTATCTGGTGTTCTGCCAAGGGCATGTCCACACACCAAAGCCATCTTTAGTTCTTTCTTTAGCCTTCTTTAGCCTTCTTTTCCACTGTGTCACACGACCTGTCACCTATCGGCAGTACAACTTATTTACACCATATGTATTGCGCCATCTATCTTGAAAATCTATCATGAAAAACTATTCTGAAGTTGTGAGTTTAATTACCGCTTAATGATGTATCATGATTTTAATGATAAAGAAACGAACATTTATGCTCATTTATGTTGTTTACAGTTTCCGATATAATAAAAGAGAGAGAGAGAGAGAGGAAGTCATGTAAATAATGAGCCAAATAAACTTCTTTTATTTGTTGGAGAGGACAGACTTGATTAATGTGGTTAATTTGTTTGCTCATATTGTATTCATAATTGACCTTTAATTAAATTTAATTAAATTGATTGATAATGAAATCGGAGGATGAAGCAATGTTTGCCCTTCTAGAGTATGTATGATATAATGCTGAAATGAACATTACTTATTCTAGTCATGTACTACTGGCTTCGGTGCATGAAATGTATTATGAGCTATGTATCAATGCCTGAAAATTAATTATCTCATACTAGCTTCTCTTGTACATTTCATCTAGAATCAGACAAGCCAGAAGGTTGTTCAAGAAATATGCTTTGAAACAAGGGGGAAATCCGTTGTGTAATTTACTGTACTTTACTATGCCTAAGGGGGTTATCTGTAGACACTTCTCCAAATTGAAAATTTTTCATTGCTATTGGCAACCTTCTTCGTCTTATGTCACATGGCAAAAATTGTAGCAAGAGCAGTGCATTTATGATTTCATACATTGATTTCGTACTGAAACGATTCCAATATTTTTGTTGAATTGATACGAATGTAAAATAAAAAGAATATAATACACATGGAATGCTTGTCTACCTATGCCTATATTCATACTGGATGTATTGATGCTAGCAGTATTCTGTTGTGATGGATGTATCTAAAGTTTTGAGCTGTAATGGATTTAAAAAAAATCTTAAGTGTGTGAGACAAAAAGAAATTAATATGATAACAGCACCCCATCCCCTACCTCAGCTGGAAACAAAAAAGATAAAGAAAAGGAATGTTAATTTCTCTTCTTTTTATCACAATATTCTAATCTTCACAATAGTCAAACTTCTCTGCATATGATCAAAAGTATTGTTAAACGATTTTACAAGTTTTGACAAAAAAAAGTGAGATATATGTTTCACTTAAAGCTGTGGAGATAAGGTGGTTCCAGGACCATGAAATTATAAACGAAGAGATGAAACACTTAAAAGAAAAAAGAGCAAGAGATGATTTTATTATCAAAATAATAAGGTTTTCTGTACCCTTCTTGAACTGGTTGATGGTTGCTCTTGATTTCATGAGACCTTGTCGGATGCTTCACCTTTTTTTATCATTTGTATATGATATGTACAGATGCTTTCTGTTTACAAGCCTTTTGCTTTTTTGTAAGGTATCCTTTCATATATAATTTAGTCCAAAATAGCAACAAGTAGTGTATGCTATGACATTTGTGTTAAGATTTTTTTAGAGGTGCTATGAAAATGTATGAGAGTTGAATTAAGAGGTGTAAAAACCGAAAACTCTAGGGTAAAAACAACATCTTCAAGTTTTTTCAACACATTGTTAAACTTATCTGTTATTCACATAAGACAGAGGGAGTGGATATGTGGAGAAACATAAGGAGGTAAAAAGGAATGAGTTTTATATTTAAAGGTGTGTTGGACTCCTGGTTGGATCATAGGACAAAGGTCCTTAAATGCAGTTGTATGTTGGTTGGTTGTTGGTTGTTTCCGAAGTTTCCGTCCCAATCTAGTTCCAATTTGAATTGTATAGTTAATGACATGAGACTCTACCACTTTAATACATGAAAAAGACATTGTCGTCTGGGCTATTCGACAGGACCCACACCCCTGCCACACCTCCGCCCCACCCCCGTCACATCCCAAAGAAACTGGTACATAATAACTATAATTTCCAAAGACTAAATGTAGAACTGAAGGAAAATGGAGGGGTCGATCTGATTACAGTAGGCTGTCTCGTCATCCTCTCTTCTTTGGAGGGGAGATGACTGTAATTGTTTGTTGGATTGGTTTTCTGTGGTGTCAATATTCAATGAATGGTACTTTACTGAAGTCGGAACTTTTATTTGAATACAATACCAATTATTTTGTTATGAGCATTGTTCGAGCACTCGACTGAACTGTGCACGAATATATAATCAACACGTGAATTTGAGTTTTTGAAAGACCACTCCACACAGCAGCCACTACTTTTGTTGGTAACATTCCGCCACGAAACAAGTGTACTTGCTTTTGTTTTCAAATTTCAGTATTTTTCTTCCCAAACATCCAGGTGACGAATTATTTGACTCAATTTCACACAATAGCATATCTGTGCTTGCATTAGTTGTTGGTATTTCGGGCCAGCCTCGGACAGTCTTCCAGTCGTCAAGAGCAACTTCTATTCAAGGAGTGTGCATACATTAAATATATTCATTGGCTGGTCGACTGAAATTCAATACGCCGTGTTATGAATAGGTCGCACTCGAACCAGGTAGAAAAACAAGCAAATACAGAAATACATGACTGGATTGAGAAATGCATGTATAATCTTGTAACAGATTGTCGGCAAATCTCTGGAACATTACAAGATTTTAAGCCAGTATTTTCTGCAATTAACCAAGCAGCCCTGTAGCTCATAGAGATACTTGTAACATAGCGGTACAGCTCGACGACTACCTTCAAAATAAAAGTGAAGATTTATAGTCGGTAATCATGTCGGACCAACTGTCATCTTCAAGGGTCTTCGTTTTCGTCATGGCGCTTTTTTTCATCAACTTCATAGAGATGGGTGTACTGAAGAGCTTTAGCGTCCTCGTTGATGACCTCGTCATCCAACTCAATACCAATCTTGGTACAATCGGACTCATCGTCGGCATCTACCACAGCTTTACATACGCCCTAGGTATGTCTTCATCACAGTCTATGATATTCATATACCAATGCATAGATAAAGAGGCACATAATGCTTGAAATTGCATGATACGTTGTTTACCTCTTAAACCATCAGATAATCGTCGAACTCCATATACAAAAAGGAGCGACAAGTCGTTTAAAGTTTATATCATTATTCCAGAAAGTTCTCTGTAGTCTTTTTTGCAATCCAAATGGTGGACCATTGTTATTCTCTTTCTCTTTAAAAGTATATTATTGTTTATCTTGTGAATAATTGAAATAAACATAGCCCATTAAAATGGTTTTGGAGTCTTGGGATCAACGGGGTGAGGGAGGGGGTGATTATATTTCTTCTATATCTTGTCCGTCTGTCTGTCCTTATCTCTTCTTCTGTCCCTGTCTGCTCCTTCTTTTTCACTCCGTCTATCTCTCTCATTTTAAGCCATAGAACCGATAACGAAATTGTTTTGTTGAATAACATATGTTTCTCTTCTCTGTTCACCGACATAGCACCATTTATCGCACCGTTTGTGAATGACATGAGCGTGACTCTTATCTCTGTCGTCTGTGCAGTGGGTTCCATTTCACTCAGCCTAGCTTACTTAGCTTCTGACATCATCCAGTTTGGTTCTGTGTGTCTACTCTCGGGTAAATCACCTTAAAAATTGATTTTAGACATTATTTTATAATTGTTTGTCGTCTTTAAAGAAAGACTAAATCAATCGGCCATCATGCATAATGAAAATAGAAACAAAGTCATCTTGATTTTGGAGGGAGAAAACAAATTGTATTTGTGAATTGTATTTACGAGAAACAACTGTAGTTTTATAGTATACATGTGGTCAGTGGCGTACGCAGGATTTTTTCAAGGGGGGGGGGGTTAACATTTTGAAATCTGGCCAAAAATTTCGCAACGACTCAGCCCGCCGCTGAATAAGCGGGGGGGGGGGGTGGTAAGAGGACACTTTTTTTTTTTGGTCTAGAAATTTGAAAATTTGATATTTTGCTCCGTAGGGGGGGGGGGGGGGTAAGGTCATTTTTTTTAGGTCAGCCATTGGCATAATCTCTCTCAAAAATACACATAAAAAAAACCTAAGGGGGGGGGGGGTTAACCCCCCCTGCGTACGCGCCTGCATGTGGTTGTTTGACACACTAATGATTGACCATGCTACAACAAATTGTGTACAGTATGGCCCGAATTCACAAAGGAGGTTTATCGACAAACCTCCTTTTGTTTCGCCAAACCTCCTTTTGTTCTTTACAAACCAGGTCTGTAAAAAAAACGCGTAAAAACGCGTCATAAAATGACGTACGAAAACCAAGGTTTGTCGACAAACCTCCTTTGTGAATTCGGGCCTAATAGTTTGTAGGCCTTTCGAGAGGTTAGGGTAAAACATTTGTCAACATAATGAACTAACATTTTATGTGGTTCATGTTATTTACATTGAAGACATTATTACAATTTTCGATGTTTCTTACTATAATAAATTGTTATTTGGACCAAATAAATATTCTCTATAATGATTGTCTATCTCTTTCTAACTTTCAGGAGTTTGTTACTCAGTCGTCCGTCTAGCAGGAGTAATCCTCTTCTACAAAAATGTCCGGGAAAACTTCTCCATTACCTTTGGCATCGCAGACACCGGCAACGCCATCGGGATGATGGTTGTACCCCTTCTGACCGAGTTCCTTTTGGAGACCTACGGTTGGAATGGTACCATCCTTCTTCTGGGCGGACTCCTCCTCCAGAACTCCATCTTCCTATTGCTTATGAAAGGCCGTCCCAGAGAATCGGAAGATGACGACTCTGATGTCCGAGAGACATCGCCAAGCTCCGTTGATTCCGAAGTGGATGACGATGTCTTTGATGAAGACGATGACCTGCTACAACGTAGACGCGACGACGGAGGATCTCGTTCCGCCACGTCCTCAGCGTCCGTATGGAGATGCTGCCACTGTGTCTACACGTACTTTGGCCTCTCGTTGTTCTTCGAGTACCGCCACACTGCCGGGGTCATGTTCTACATGGTGCTTTCTGGTATCATTAACACATCCTGGCTCGTCTTCCTCATTCCTCATGGTGTATCCAGAGGCTTCCGTCTATCCAAGGCTGTCTTCCTGGCAACCTGCGGAGGATTCGGCAATGTTTTGGGTCGCGTCGCCCAGGGACCCATCGTCGACCGGGAGTGGATGACATCCCTCGATCTCACCATCATCTTTACGGTCATCAATGCAGTGGTCTTTCTCTTGGATCCCTTGATCATTGACTTCGTTTTGCTGTGCATCGCAGCGTTTGTGGGAGGACTGGCCATCGGCTCAAGAACAACGCTTACAGTGGTGATCGCTAAGGAATACTTCCCATCAGACTCGTTCTCATTGGTTTATGGATTACAGTGCCTGTTCTACAGTGTAGGTGAACCACTTGGAGGTATTATGGCAGGTAAGTATTAATTCTCTCCAAAACTCAATTTTTTTTGTTTCCTCATTTATATTGGGTAAATTTATGGTTTCAGTGAGAGCCTTTCTTATATTAAAGCCGTAGGTTATGTAGGTATACTCCAAATCATCTTGTCAGTTTCCTTCATCTCATAAAATATGATAAAAAGCAAAAATTAATAGCCTACTGGATAAGTATTGTTTTTTCTAAATGGAATAATAATCATCCTCGAATAGGGTGACGAAAGCTGATGGTAAACGCGGAATGGCATTTCCCCCCGATACTATTGTGTAGCCTTTGTAAGTTTGTACAAAGGTGTTTTTTTTTTTTTAATGGCATTTTCATATGATTTTTCACAAATTCCCTTTTTTGTTATCAAAAAGTTGTACTGGTGATTTTCTTTTCCATATTACACTGTAAGAGTTTTTGATGAGTATTAGTATAATGCAAATATTCTTTCTCTTTTCAGGATGGTTGGCTAGTAGAGTAAGCTTCAGCGTGTCTTTCATGGTGTTGGGAGGAGTGGAAGTCTTAACTTGCTTGATCTTGATACCAACACGATATTTAGTCACTAGAAATACAACGACTTAGTCCTGCATTTCACCCTGATTAATGCCAGAAAGAGCTGGATTGAACGTCCATGAAGCTGCACCCCCACTCTTCAGGCCATCAAAGTACCCAAACCAAAAGTGAACTGTGATGAGGCGTCTGATGCATGTATGTTTATCATACCTATCACTTATATATCAAGTCAACCTTCCAGGCATTAAGAGTATGCTCATGATACCATTTTTTTTAAAAGACGTAAAATATTTCCCACGAGTAGTTTCATGATCCTTCAAATTGTCAGATTTTAGTACAAACGTACCGAATCCGAGGGTAAATCGCCCACTCCTGAAAACTTAGAAGAAAGGTGTAGCCTGTTATCCGTTTGAATAGGTCCAATGATAGTTATTTGTCTTATCCAACAGAATGGTTATAATACACCTTTATGAAATAACTTGCTTGCTTTTCTTCATTCTAAAACAAGTTGGCCGGTCACTTTACAAAATGGGAGAAAGAAGCACATCTGCAAACCTCCCCCCCCCCCCCAAAAAAAAAAAAAAAATCGTTGCTATCCCCCTTTTTTTAAATTGATAAACATTGTATCTAACATTTTCCAGCTACTTATATCCTACGTTATAGTAAATGCTGCAATACCAGTAAAAGGGTTATGTTCTCTTTGATGTGTCACCTGACCGTTTGATTTTCATCTTTATTTGCCGCTCTGTATTTGCCGCTCTTTACCTAGGTGTAAGAAATGGGTTCCAGTGTGGGAAAAATCATTACATGCTTGACCGGGCTTATGCTCCTATCTGCTTGGCTTACATGAGTAAAACCGTGGAAAGCGGCCGGCTTTATCAATTGAGTTATCGTTATTAATATATAAAGTCATCAGTTGCGTGAGATTTATTGATGGTTCATTTCAAGAAGGAAGCCAATCGAAAGCGAAAATGAGAAAAAGAAAAAAGAGTTTCATTTACTCACCAGTACATTTTGACAACCAATGGCTCATATATGTCAATTGAAAGGAAATATCAATTGTATTCATTGAGGATATTCATATTTTCGTAAGTTTGTTTATTATGTCATTTATTGAGCTTCCCCTACCTATGAGGTGATAAATCATGTTATGAATGACATTTCCCTCTCTTCTAATTCAATTGAAAATTCACTTCCTAATAGCTTGATCTGTTCAAATTGCAATGTGGCATGTCGTCTTGTGTTACTCATGAATTTTGAGTCACATAGGTGTTGTTTTTCTATGAAAATGTTCCCATTTCGTGGTTTAGGATTAAAAAAATTTATCTTTGCGTGTTCCAACTTGTTTTTTATTCCAAGTTCATATTGCGCAGTTAGGGAATAAGTTTTTTCGTATTCTATGCTCTTCACAACATTACTTAATGGTGATGGAAAAATACTGCATATAAGGAATTTGCACTTAACGTTGACGTCTTTGTTAAGAAAGGCATTTTAAGGGGTACTACGGGTAAAATATCATGTAAAAAATACACATGAAACCCACTTTTCTATTTGAAAAAGTTGCCCTTTGGCAAGAGAAAACATTTTTATTTTGTTCTCTAGATTGTGTTCTTATATGACGATGGACTAATTCAAATTGTTTATTGATAAGAAAATTTATATTTTTTTGTTACTTAATGGTAACTGTATTCTAAGCGTTAATCTTTACATTTGAAAATCATGAAAGCAGAATATTTGATTAAATCAGGATTGCCATAATCCTTTCACAAACAGAAAAAAGAGTAAAGGCTTTGATTGAATGTTGTTATTTGTTTTTATTGTACTGTACGTGACGACAACAAAATGTATTTACATAATGTAATCAAATTCTCATTTACATGCCATGAGTACATAAATGTAAGCGAATTAAAATTCTCTTTTATAACAACCAAATACTTTACACAAAAAATACTCAATATATTATTTAATAATACATATTACAGAGTTATCATATATTTTTTCTCATAAAATGATTTCTATACAGCATGAATCGGATAATACAAAGGTGTTCAAAACTCTGGTATACCCAAAACCAGTTCGGGTAGGAAACATCCCCCCCCCCCTTTAAACTGATGAAGCCTATGACTGTATTTTACTTGAACTGCTGAAAATCAAGTACATGCTTGTAAATACGCTATCAGGTGACCAATACTTGATCCCATCTTAGGGACTTTTTTACATTACGGATGAAATGCCTTCTGAAATTGCCCGGGTGCATCGAATTAGTTTCGAACTCAGGGACCTATCGGTTAAGAGATCACTACTGCTCAACATGAGCCATCACGCCTCCACCTCTATACTAGCATGACATGGATTCGATATGATAAACATGGGGTGGGGCTGCTTCAGTCGTAAATAATACTAACTACAAAGACTAGGGCTACAGCCACTTGCTGAAAAAGCAACAAACATTACTGTGAAAAAAGTGCAACCCAAATTACCATTTCCTAAACCAATCTCACACCTGCGCCATATCCAAGCCCTGTGGGTTTGTTGTACCTAAAATTGAGAAGACTGTGGGTATTATCATGAGTACCTGAATTTTTGTTTGTGGGTTTGTGAGGATCTACTTCGTTAATCATCAAAATGAGGAGGAAAAAAATTGTAAGGGAGCCTAAATTGGATTGATCACGGGGAAAGATAATGCAGGAGGCAGATGGCTGTTTCATACGAAAATTACTCATAGTTGGCCAGAAATTGTGAATTTCAGCACATGACGTAAGTTTGGCAATAGGTGGTCACAAGTTCAATTATTTTTGGCCACTGCCGTACTCGTTATTACAAAAGGAGTTACATGGATTGAGAAAGGAAGAGAGTTTCTCTTCAGGCTACATGCATGCCTTGGTGATATCTTATGAAACGCGAAGGAAAAAAGTGTGCTACTTATACAAGATGTGGATACGAAATAATGGAATTATATTGTCACCCTCAGTTCCTATTCTTGAATAAAGAGAATCATGGATGGTGAACTCGTGGGCAAAATCACACTTTTATGCGAATACGCAATCAATTTATTTTGTACGCTCTAAATTCTAAAAGTGGACAAAAGTGAATCCAGATAGCACTGTTTATAAACTTAATTAATTAAAATGTCGTCTTTTCTAACGTTTTCCATATCACATATTTTCTTTGAAACGTGTACTGTAGAAATGAAGAAAAAAAAAACACTATACGATAACTGAGAAAAAATAGAAATAGAAAAGAGCTGAGAAGCATAGCAGGCGCATCGGGATGTCACATGGCACGTCTCGAATGATGAATTTTTCCGACAAAAGATTGACACGAGAACTTGATCCGCAGTTTATAATAACCAAAAATAGAGACACTGTGATAGTTTGAGCCTTATTTCTTTGACCGCGCCCATTTTGGGTTGAGAATTAAAGGATCATGAATTTTACTAACGTTTGGTAAACGGTGAAAGTTTTTGTTTTCTATGAATTCCTCCATCAATGACAATCAAAGGTCAATGTAAAGAGATTTGTTGTTTTTGAAACTCGGTTTTAGACAAAATACAAATTTGCTTTGATAACAAATGTGCCGAAATTCGTAAATATCATATACATGTATGTATACATGAGTTCTCATATTGTAAGCGTATTCATTAAAGCAACAACAACCTGAATTGGGGGGAAATAGTTTTAGTTTGGGGACCGGAACACGTTTCAACTATATTTCGATTAAAACAAAGATAATTGTAAGTTTTGCCTGAAAAACTTGACTTGACCCGATCTTACTTGACCCGATCTTACAGCTTAGAACATAACACAAAATGAACAGACCTAACACCGATAAGCGTCAAGGGCAAAAGAATCTAGTTTAAATGTTACTACTTTTAACCAAGTACGCTTGCACCGTGAAAATAATGGAGAAATCACTTTCGTATCATTACACCTTAAAAAACGAAGCCTTTTTCTATGAAAGAAGTTTCAGGACAAGCTTTAGAGCCACAACACTGAGGAAATAGTATCACGTTCACGCCAAAAAAAAAATCAGGTGCGAGATCACTTTATCTCCACAAAATATAAACTTCCTGACACTCTAAAAACCAAACTAAAACACAACCTTCAACCCACTTCGTCATTATCATGATTTTATTTATGGCCGATGGGAAGAGTGTCCCAGATAAACACTTGCAAAAATCAACAGAAACCAGTGGACGTATGCTTTAGGATAAACATCGGATTTTCCTGTATTTCTTACGTTGATGTACATAGGGAGAATATCAGTTTAAATAATCAAGTCTACATTGTACATCAGAAATCAAAATCATATGGTCCTGATTAGGAGACCCCACCCCCTCAAAAAGAAATGGGAAGAGCATAGTTTCCTCATATAGGTCAATGTGTTTACTTTCTTTCAGATTGAAGGCGATAACCAAGGCCAAAAATAGTCCTGATGGTGTGTATTATTCTCTTCAATCGTGTGATTAGAATTTTGACATAATTTGACTGACTTGGAAATTGTTATCAATATGATTTTATAAAGTTTATACCACTAAGTATCTCAAAGAAAAAAGGTGATGACCTATGATATTCAATTAGAAAATACAACCATTTTCTATAGAATAAAAAACACAAAACAATTATTATACGAGTAACTTCCATAAATATATTGCAAAAGTGCGATGTGACCGATTAATAATAATAATAATAATAATAATAATAATAATAATAATAATAATAATTCTCTTCGCCAACTTTGGAAGTAGACGTGATATATGAAAGAAATAAATGATTGCACCAGTCACATAACCTGCATTGTATCTACAGCTTCGTTCATACAACTACATACAACTATTACGAACAAGTGATTTGCAGCATTGTGTAAACCCTTACGTTGGGCTTTCTAAGTAGGTTGTACTATCATAATATTATAGCAAAAAACAAACAGGCAATTTACATATTTCGATACAATCATCAAGTCAGTTGACTGTAAAATTGCATAAAATTAAACGGTCCTAGCTGAAATAAAATTGTATAGATGTTATCCTAAACATCCTAATGCTGAGCTTAGGTTTAATACTTAATGAACACTGAAATAACTGATTCTGACATGCAATCAGTTATTAATCAACGAACACGGTTCGAATATAAACTGGTGGCAAGTTGAAGCTGATATTACAAATGCTCTAGGGTTCTTGGGGAGCTTCATTCTAGATGATGTTACGTCATGCACTGATTTCCTAGTTTGCACGTTGATCTAACACATCTAAAAAATTCAATATAATCGTAGCTACGTTTTTATCAGAGTGATACGGGGAGCGAAGTATATTAAGGAAGGACATTCTAAGTAGTACAATTTGACAAAGCCGTATGATAACCATAGTTGTTTCTTTTTCCAGCGGCCTTCTTAATGCACATCAATTAAAAGATTTCATGCTTAATTCAACTCTGTATAGTCAGTTGAGTCGGTATCACCGGTGTCATTGGCGTTGTTGAAATTTTCATCAGGTATAGACGAGTAAGCCTTGTCCATCATACTGTTAGCAGTGGATCCAGAGGCGTGCGAGATGTCCCCTGCCTGTGACCCACTGGCCTGACTTGATACCGATGCACGAGGGTCTTTCATGCTCATGTATCCATCGTCCTGTCTCGATGACAAAGAATTCGGAAAATGGGTCAAGAAAATGCTAGCTGCTGGCGAGATTTCCTCGCTGTTAGTCCTTTGCCGCCTCGGACGGTCGTAGTGCTGGGAAGTACTGCTGTTACTGCTGACATTGCCCGTAGTCAAGGGCCTGTTGTTCTTTGGCACTTCGTAATATACCTTCAAATCACCATGGGCACCCGAGAAGGGATTGACGCCCGGGTTGCTCACACTGCGCCACAGGTGTTTCCGCTGGCGTCTTGACGGTATCAGGTCTGGGTTAATATCAGAGTCTATATGAATGCTGGTGTGCTTGGTACCAGCGCGACTGGTTCCCAGTGGACGTAGCATCGGTAAAGAATCTACATTAGGCTCTTCGCTGATACTCCCATGGCGACTGATAGATATAAGAGCCGCCGTTGAACCATTCGCCTGGCTCATGCCGCCACACGATTCGCTTATACTGGGTTGTCTGCGAATGCCATTGGTGGCAGTGATGTCTTGTGGCGCCGATTCACTCGATGTCAGCCGTCTGTCCCGAAAACTACCCTCCCCATTCCCGGACTGACCATTGCATCGGTTTGCGGCAGACGTTGACTTTCCGTTCGTCGCACTGAGGCTGCGAAACATCGCACGGTCAACGCGTCGTACTTTCCCGACGCGCCACACGCCGTCGGTGTTGTTAAGCGTCATGTACTCACGTTGTGATATCTGCGATCCATCAAGATCAATGTAACCATCTGGACCTACCAGCATGGAACTTAGTTGAAGCTGACTAATGGTCTTCCGTTCTGCCTCCAGGCGCCGAATCTTCCTTTTAAGGAAACACACGTAAATGGCTAAAATGATAATGATAACACAAGAAAACATTCCAATGATAATGGCAACAGTAAGGTAATTACCTCCTCGCGTAGGAGATTTCAAGTTATGTCCAGTTGTCGGTTCCGTCTGAACACCTGATACAGTATGATCATCAATGATGTTACGAACCCCGTCTGAACTTTGATCTGATCTTGATATTTGTTGCATCGGTGGCCCTACAGTGGAACACATTACCCCAGGCGGAACGGTTGAGGTTAATCTCGCAGGAGTTCGACGGACACAGGAGTTGTTACGGAGAACCATTCCAGCTGGCATCCCGTATGCTTCGTTGCCCGAGCCTGATGAATACCCGTACACCAGAACTGAAAAGGAATTGTACCCGCTGTATTTGTCTTCCAAGAAGTACAATCCGGGATTATGGACAAGACTGTGTTGCGCGATACAAAATTTCCGTTTCAGCATCTCCTCTGTTGCATGAGACGCATTGTAAAAGTTATCCTCTGGAAAATGAAATATACCATGAAAGAGATTTGATTTGGCATTGCAGTCGATGACGATGTTGATATTGTTGGTGAGTTCAGGACCGATTGCGACCGAGATAGAAGGTATAAGAGCCTCGCTGACAAACTGGGCGATCCCAGGGACGAGCATCATGAAGGGGTCGGCTCCTGTCCCGTCGACATTTCCGCCTGTAGAGCAAGAACAGAAAATTCATCATAAAGTACTGAATTACATTCAGCAATTCAAATCCCTTCGACTTTATTTAGCTGCATGATAAATATAATTGTCTTTTAAGTAGATTAGTACGTCATTGTTGATAGAAAGTACTTAGAATATATAGGAAAGTCACTTGTCATTGTCGAGGTTTAATTAGATCAAATTCTTGTTGATCAGTTTCTTATTTTGTAAAACCTCTAATAATGTATTAAAAAAAAATGATCTGAGTACACGATGACTTGCTACATGGTAGATTCTCATCCACTAAGAAGGCCGTGTTTTTCAAATTTATCTAGTACATTGTACGATTGATTTCTTATTTACTTTCATGACTTTTCAAAGACAGGCATCCCGTAAAGTTAAACATTGTTTAATTAATTTTTTCCTATTGATATAATGTGTGTTTCCATACCTTTACTATACTGCATCACAAGGATAGGGCTGTTAGCAACAATAGCGGTACTGGAATTCGATCCCACGTCCAGCTCCTTAAACTCTCCTGCGTTGAGGATAAAGGAAGAATCGGTAGTCGTCGTCCTCACAACCGTCAAGTTCCTCGCAGCAATCACCCGAAAGCGATCCCCATGCGACCTTCCCTTCAACGGTGACGTGATGAACTCCTTCTCCCAGCTGCTGACTGGTGGAAGCTGCTCGACTAGGTGATCGCAGTAACGGTTGTTCTTCGGCACATTGGCACACTTGTTTCCCGACAAGACGGCAATCGGTTTGTCGGCGACGATATGCGTACCAGTCAGGTCGTAATCTCGATCAAGGCAGTGGAGCGTTTCGAGCTTGTCTAGTGTTACTTCTGTGCCCGAATAAACAATCTGCTCATTGCAGAGACAGTAGTTGTTCGGTTTGAAGTGTATCCTTACACGGGTATTATGGTCGGTACTGATCACCATGAACTGAGAGCCACGACGATCCCGCTGGATACGCGCCGCTATGTCATACGTTACGACGTAGTATTCGTAACCTAGCGCGTCCATCGGTAGAGCCAGAAAGGAATCCATGGAATTACCTCGATCGATGCCGTACACGCTCACCTCATGGTCCGCCTTGACAACGATAGCTTCTGACCCAGCGATGGCAGGGTTCATGAGGTCCAAGGATTGGACGGGACTGTAAGGGGTGATGTTTAGCGTGTAGTTGCCTTGTTTGGTATAGATGCTCACCGATGTGCTCCGTCGTGAGCCCACGATGTAGATATGTGGACTGACATCGGGCGTCATCGCCTCCAGGAAACCCACCACGAACTCCGTTCCCATGTGGTCTCGGACGGCGCAAGGATCTGTCAAGTAGAATAAAATGATAGTTTAGTGACAGCTTGATTAAAGATAAAGACAAAGAAGATGATTGGTATTTGTTACTGGAATTGTTTAACATGTGTCATATTGCAAATAAAAGAAGAGATCTGATCTACAGAAATCTGAATAGAATAAAACGATAGCATTTTCTCCTCATATGTTTTTTTTTCTCCAAGACTGAAGGACACACTTCATAATCATCCTTCTCTCTCTCTTATTTTCTTTTAACATCAACGTTTTCTAGCTACTTTTATTCGTTGTAATACATTTTAATCGTACTAAATGAATACAAGAAAGTTCTTTTACCAGTTCTAGTTTTCATTTCATATAAAGATAAAAAGATCTTAAAAGAACAACGCCCGCAAGGTGAAAGATTATGCTTTTATTCTCGATAGTCATGTGACAAAGTTTTGTACCACGTGACAATATTAAACAAATCTGCACTAACAAGGCATGATTGAATTTATCCCCTTCTGTCGGGACTTATGATTTCCTTTTATAAATGACTAATCATATGGTTATTGCTTTTCCTGCGATTACCGTGGCACCCGAAATGCTATCGGCACCATCGCCCCGTTGCGGTACACGGGCAACTTGACCACCAGTTGCGGCTTTTCCCCTCTTCTTGTTTGTTAATGGTCATATAAACATGAATTTACGTCAGAGGAGGATATTCTGAACATCCCAATTCATTAATGAATAGAGGATGGGTAGGTATTTTACTCGCGAAAATAAAAAGAAACTAAGCGCAAAATAAAGATTGGCCACAACACATCAATTTCGAAAAATGAAATTTTTCTAAAAATAAGAAAACGAAATTGTTTGACGAAGCGAAGAGAGCTGAAAAATTGCGGTGAAATTGAATATTACAAGAATAGATAGGCCTTAAAATAACTGTGTCTAATGCATGTGATCAGAGGGGAAAAGGGAAGATAAGAACAGAACATAATGTATAGTTGAATTAATGACATGCATTCCTTTGTCATAAATTTATTATTTCATGACTTTAACCTGTTAAAAAAGAAACAGAACATGGTTTATAGTTTGTATGTTCATATTTCTATTTCTTGGTCATAAATTTTATTCCATGACTAGCACTTTATGTATGACTTTTTGTCTAATGAAACTGCGTTGAAATCTGTTTTGAAGTGTAAAACATAACAGAGCACATATCTTTTTATCAAAGACTGGACATTTCAAACAGTTACCCTTGTGACGGGTTACAATAACGTTTTCTTTTAAATAAGTTAACATATTGCGAACATAAAGTTTATAAGATCACACTTAGAAACAAAGTATATGATAGCATAAAGGTATGAAATGAAATTGCAATGTTATATTCCTGTGATATTTCTACTTACACAATATCTTATAAAATTAATTCTCAGAGTGCTTTGAGTTCATCTAAATAGAACCCAATCATTCTCTTCAATTTTATGCCACACTTAAAAGCATTAGAAATCAACAAAATTTAATTACCAGCTTTATTTAAGCATGGGTTATAAAATCATATCAAGAAGTAGAACCTATGAAAAACAGGTTTTGTTTCATGGGGGTTCACTGTATCGACAGTGGAGACGTTCCTGCTATATTCGTGAGTCTGAAAGGACGCGATGGAAATGGGTAAGATTGCGACCCCCTTGTCAACCCTTACCACGCTCCCAACGCTGTTTTCTTTGACGTAGGAACATTAATACATCCCTTCCGTTTCGAGGCCACGATGGTAATGAATTGGGGAAGTACTTGTATTTCCCCCTCTCTAAATCACTGGTAAATCCTATAGCCCGATTGCCTATGCATGAGGGGACTTTTAATCCGTGGTATGTAATGCATCTTCCCAAGATATTGCAACCTCGTTATCATTACGTAACCAGCTGGATTATAACATAAGTGAACTTCGATCTGAATTACATAACTAAAATTTGAGCATCCGCTTTAAAGTTGGTCAGTTAAGTCACCATTTCGATTGCAAGTATTATCTAATTTAGTCCTTGTATTTCTCCAAAGCTCAACTACTATGACGATGTCAGCGGAGTATTGTCTGTTTACATTAATGAGAAAGGGCCTTGCCCTTGCCCTTTACTCATTTTCGCAATTCCTCTGCAGAAATATCCTATCTTAAGATTTCATTTGTTTATAATGTAGTTTAGTACCATCTTAATTCCGTGTCTGTAATAAGAATGCAATGTACAACATCTATTCGAACAACAATCAGGATTTCTCGAAATGAGTAATAATAACAACAATAATAATAATAGTAATAATAATAATAGTAATAATAACAAAAATAACAATGATAATAATCTGGGTTTATACAGCGATAAATACATCAACGATGTCTCTAAGCGCTTTATTTAGATAGGCCTATTTCGTGTATTATCAACCTAACTTTATACAGACCTTAAAAGGTTGGATATTGTAAGGGTTACTTGACTGTACTCTGTTGTAAGACAAATCAATGTGAACATGATTAAGTAGCGTCTGACACCGCTCTAATGAAGAGCTTCCTTACTTTTCATTTTCCGCGAATTCCTGTCACCAACGCAACTAAAGTTATATAAGCGACATCAATCCAACATTGATATACATCTGATGTTGACAAAACATGCACACTTGGTAACGAATGATACTAAATTTAAGGGATATGGCTAGAATGTATAAATTCCAAACTGTTCAGATGTTGAAAATAGCGCTTTTATTAATCGTGCTTTATTAAATCGAATATTAAGAAATAAATAAGTGCAATTATTGACATAATGATATCCAAACCATGTTCATGCATTATCCTTCAATCTCCTAAATGCAATTGATAAACAGAGGAACCTTCTAAATGGGTTCGTTATTCCACATACTTTAGTGTTCAAACCGAGACACAATTTTGAAGTATTTCTTGGCGACTGAAAGTTATCAACGACTTTGTCCAATTTCAACCGACAGAATGTATTTTGGAAGCACTGCTCGTAGATTCATAAATTCACTGGCAGGTATATAATATATTTTTATTTTGTATTTGTTGTTATTAATGTTACTTCTCTTGCTTTGTAGTGTTTCTTTGTTGGTCTTTTTGTTTGTTTGTATTAACACTGCCTGGAGGTGACGTTCAATGGCTTTACCCGATGCTGGATACTCCATTTGAATCCTGATCTATAACAGGCTCTGCTTATTACAACTTTAAGTACTCTTAATTTTCAACGAATCATCGTGAGTCGCGTCTACAAGGACTAAAGTCGAGCAAGAATTGGTTCGCTCAAAAATCAAAATATTTCACGGAAACAGTCGCTAAACTCTGACCAGCACCGATAAAGCAGACTTCCCTCCCATAAAAAGGAGCAATATTTGCTTGTAATCGAGTCTGCAGTCACTCGGTGTAGGGTCTTGGATTCAGGGATCTGAAAGGAACATCCGACATGGGGCTTTTAAGAGTGGAGTCAAAACAAGCACGCTTCCTTTACGGTGCAACGACCTGGGGTAAAGGTGCAGAAACAACTCGTATGTCACGAATCGAAAATTTGCAAAGTCCAACATTTTAAAACAAATTTGTTAGGGTTTGTTTATACTCAATTCGTTTTCCCTGATTCTGTACCTGCGTAGATCCCTTTTTTCTCCATATTTGTTTTTATTCATATATATTTAATCTCTAATAGTTTGTAGCGTCTTTCCACGATACAATGTGCAATCATACTTCAGCTCACTTTCCCTTGCCCTATGTAGCATGGTAAACCAGGCGCGGATCCAGGATAACTTGGGGGAAGGGGGCCCAACTTTTTTTTTTGTTGCTCCCGAAAATTCGCTCAGTGGGGGGGGGGGGGGGGGGGGGGGTAGTGAGCACATTTTTTTTTTGGTCCTAGAAAATTAAAAAATTTGCACCCCCCCCCTCCCTTGAGCGCCAGGGGGGGCCAACCCCCCATAAAGGTAAAAATCACGTGTTTTTACATGTTTTTTGGACCCCCCCTCCCACTGGATCCACCACTGTGGTAAACCTAATCTAACCTTATTAATCTTATGTTGAAAAATGCAAAATGTTACCTTATTATTAACGGTGGTAATCTAGGTAACAGAATACCATCTCCTTAAAGATTTAGTTAGAAAAACGATTTTGTCAAGAATTTACTCATGTTCCTCACCGATGTATGCTATATTGAGTTTTCAGGACCGATTCTACTTAAACTTTAGTAGACTGAATTTTGTAGTTAAAGCAACTTGAGGTATTGGTTAAAATTATCGTTCTCGGTGATGTGGGAGCGGCCCTTTTGCCTCCCAGATGATCCTCGGTCATATAGTAGTTTCTAGTCCTTAGAGGATTATCCAATTAATTAATTGTTGAAGTGCAGCCGAATGTTACGCAAGAGAAGCATAATACATTGAAATTGCAAAATAACTTTTCCTTAAATCTTAGTTCGCTGTACCATCATTTATGTTTAGATGCCCATCAGGTATTGGTGTAAGTATACATGTTATTAAAGTGGTGCTAAGGCAGTGACTTCAATGCTAGATGTACAATAAAAGTAAATCTGAAAGTTTGAGTTAAAACGGACCATTATTAATAATATCAATCGGAAAAAATGATCTGATCGATTCCTTAATTCTCCCAACTAAATTACAATTTAATTACATTTTAGGTGAATGTAAATCGTCACAAAGCAATACATTGGCTCTATATTACATTCCAGACATTTATTGTTGAAAGCTTTTCAAACCTGATTTATGTTCTTTGTTCATGGAAAAACGGTTGGGAAAATTCAAAAATGGTTGGGAGAATTTACTGTTAATCACTGTTAGAGGGCGTTGCACAGTGACACCTTCAAAGAAAACCATAAATATTATTTATGTTTAAGAATTTGTTAAGGATTTGTTGCATGCTAGACGGTTAGTACAGTAGAAGGAATATAATTTATGCAATTTTTTCATCAACTTTCAACAATGTTACAGAGTCACTTTAAGAAGACGAAGTAATTAAGTTCATATCTTGTCTAGAAAGGACATC